AATGGAGCCCAACGATTGAGGAGCAGACTCTCTCGGCGTCTTAGAGGGGAGGTGAAACGGGATGCAAATGCCTTTGAACTGCTGGATGGTATGAGACAGAAAAGAAGAGACATGGGCAGCAAAAGTGGGGTGAGACAGAAATGGTAGAGTGACTGACTTGTTATGTCGGGGTACAGAGCAGTTACGAAACTTGAGCGCAGACTTGAGCAGCTGTACCACTCTAGATCTGAAAGGCTGCTCCATGATCTTGGCCATGCGGAACATCGCGTACAACTCTAACGTCGAGACTTTGGCAGATCTGACAATTTTCGCAGCAGAGAAAGATGCCGAGGTCAACGATGCCAAATCATACAAGAGCGACCACGCTTGGCTTTTGTCCATCAAGCATCGAATCGGAGTACTTGTTGAAGCAGCACGTCTTCGAACTTTGACCCAAAGTCTGGAAAACAATGAAACATTCTTGAGAGATGGACGTGGCCTGAGTCTCTTGAATCCCAATGCAGACTTAATGAAGAAACGGTCAATGAACGGTGAATTCAATCTGGGTTGCCACCGATCAATAAGAACATGCTCTTGTACCCACGCTTGTTTGTAGTCATCATGAACAGACAGGCAAAGCGTAGAAAAGTCGAAATACCTGCCCAGCGAAGCCCAAATACGAATGGCTGGTTCAACTTGAACATATTGCTCACGAAGAACTTGCTTGAGTTTGGATTGCCGGTTGAATTCACGCTTGGAAATAGTAATTGAAGTACTTCCAACATACATCCATCTGTCTCATTGCTTGAACGAAGAACGCGTACTCCAGGACACGGGGGCTTTCAAATAAACTGCACAAGGACTCTGGAACCGTGTGAACGTGTAATCAGACAGCGTGACTCCAGCTTTGCGCAATTTTTCAAGCAGCCGTTGTTCTGGCGAAGTACCCCTGGAGTAATGGAACAGTAGAATCAGATGACAAAAACCTTGCAACCAAATGGCCATCACTTTGTCCACATGCGGAATGAACTGAAGCACAAACGACATGAACTTGCCAACCTCTGTAATAAGAACATGTGCTGACCGAATCTCCTTTGCGGAGAGTTGATTGGAAGCAAGGCTGTGTGCAATTCAGACAACCTGAAAGGCTGCTGCTGCGATGCACGTAGAGAGACTCTTGATACCCATCCTAGATGCAAAAGTCGCCGAGATCCCGAATTTTACTGCAAGTTCTTGCAGTTTTGCTTTCTCCTTGCCTCCGTAGTTGATCTGCACAAGCTTGGAGACAGACGCAATGTGTTCTTGAAAATCGACAAAGCGCTTTCCTAGGGGTCGTTTGAAGCTCTGGATCCACTTGTCGACGTCCCCCTCTCCTGATCCCTTTAATCGGGCTTTGTGATCATTCAGGGCTTCTGCAGGAACACTGTCGATCTTACGCTTGAGGTCACTCTCCCAAGTCTGCGGTGGTGTCACGGATTGTGGACACGGAGCACTAGATTGCGAGGCAACCGGGAGCTGTGTTTGCAAAGCGGGTTTCGTGGGGGTAACTGGAAGTCCTGCGGCTTGTAACTGTTCACGGCGGCGATTGAGCTCTTCCGTAACTTGAAGAAACTTCTGAGATTGATCGACGCCTGCAGACACCGGCATGTTGTCGAACATGAGCTGAACGATCTTGTCAACCATCGGCTGAAACAGAGCTGCACAATCCGTGTTCTTGTTGGGAATGATTGTAGATGGATTAGCGGCCTGAAAGAGATGCGTAGCAACTGCGTCGATGTCAACTTTGCGATCTCGAAGGTTCTTCGTGACTTGCGACATGAACACTGCTTCGGCAACCGTAGCAACTGGCACAACACTGAAAAACTTGCCATGACTCAATGCTCGAAGACGCCAATCTGAGACTCCATGAAACAGGAATTCCTGAACAGGAATGCTGAGTGGGTCTTTTCCTGCGATCCCTTTCTTCCGCGACCACGGGGTGGCTTCGATGGACTTACGAAAGGACAACCCATGAAGTACCGTTGAATCATAATGATCACGATCTGACGCCCATCCATTCGGTAGTGCAGGAACAGGACCGGGACCTTGATGACATGGCATGGGAGTAGACGGCGAAGATGAAGGTGCCGAAGAAAGAGGAGGCGGTGGTAGTGGAGGTGGCTGACTAGCAGGTGCAGACTTGGAGAGGTTGGGATCAGTCCAACTTCCCGAGTTATACGGCTGATAGCGGTGCTGACCCCACGATTGCTGGGACCTCCCGTACCCTGTGCTGTTGTCCCACTGCCCATTCCATGCCATGGTTTCAGATCTATCAACAAATCTGAATACGCGGAATCACTAACGTCACTTCGAATCAAAAAGCTGCAACTCGAGACGGCTCATGAAGAAACTCTTGCACATCCCTTGCACGTCACTTGCACGTCCGATGCATAAACTCTTGCACATCCCTTGCACGTCACTTGCTCTTCTCACTTGCAGTACACTTGCACGTCCCTTGCAATACACTTGCACTACCCTTGCAGGTTTTCGTCACATGTAAACGTGCACAGCAGGTGACAACGGAAGAGACTTGAAGGCGTGGCCGGTCAAAGCAGCATGTTGCACTCAGACCCTCCAAAAAACAAGAAGCGCTTCCGGGATGAAACATGAAGAGCGAAAGACCCATCTGCCATCTTTGGCACGGGCAACATCACGAATGTAGCTGCAGGAATGGTCACCTTCGACCCCTCCCATGGGGATTCTTGAATGGGGAGGTGTGAGGGATCCTTGACGATTAAATGCATGTCCGAAAATGCACACCGGCCGCTCACTCAGAATGCCACCGTACTTGGCTGCTGCCTCTTGTGCTTGTTCTGCATCTGAAGTGTGAGCCCTAGCATAGAAGGAAATTGGTGGGGACCACTTGCTGTCACTAGCATCCCACCAAGAAGGTCGAATCGCTCCCTCAAGAAGGATTGATGCAGCCGCTGCCACTGTTGTGTTGTGTGCAACAGGAGAACGACGAATCCCTGCTGCAGAAGCATGCGACCTGATCATGGTCCTCTCAAAGTGGGTGAAGTGGATGCTCAAGCACTTGCACGAACTCGACAAAGAACGAAGCTCCACAGAATGAATGTTTGCGGCTTGATCAGCTGCTGCAATTGCCTGAGAGACATACTTCAATGCTGTCGAATTGACAGCGTGGGGAGGAAGACCTAACAGGCTGATCAGATAGTCCGCCGTGTTTTGCATCAGAGAGCTGGGAACCTGCAACTCAAGATTGGCCGGAATCTTTGCCGAAATCTCACATGCCGATTTCATGCGGCCAGGGCTGGAACTGATCAAGTGACGTAGAGCAGTAAACATGGGGTATAATGCGGCCCAATTGAAGCTAGATGAATACACGCGTATCAGCTTCGCTTCTTCATCTCGCACTTCCAACCCACGAAGTTCAGGAATCACGAAGAAGTTTGAATCTTGCTCCCACTCAACTTCCACATGCCCTTTGAGAAGAGATCGATTCTCAAAATGCTCATACGAGTCTTGCAGCGGTCTAACTCGAAAGACGTAAGTCTGGTCCGCACTGAGCTGCCACCCTACGCGATCTGCATGAGTACCCGGAATCTGATCACAAATTGCACGAAGTCGAATGCTGTTAGGATCTGCAACGAGAGAAACTTCATTTCCAGGAACTTGCCGAAGTCGCTTTGTTGGCTGGGCTGAATCATCCGTTTGAGACGTGATGGCTGACTGCTGGCTCTGAACAGATGCTGTTGACTGATTCCGTTGAGAAACAACAGACTGCTGAATGTCAAGCAAATTGTTGAGGCCAGCATACACATCTCTGTGGCCTCGGACATGTGTCAAGTTTGCTGCCATAATCGCTGAGTATTCAGCCACCGAACGAAACGACAACCGGAAACCTGTGCCATCTGCATGAAGAGTGATTGCAGGGGAAGCCTCTTGCTGCGGAATCTGCCGATCATTTACAGGAGGTGCAGCAATCAAAGTAGGAGTTACCTCTGTAGCTCTCGCTCCAACATCTGATGCAGAAGGGACCGGCAAAGAAGAAGATGAGGCAGGCGCTGGACAAACTGCAAGAGTGGGGGGTGGCGGGGGGAAGGCGGGAGGGGGAAGGGGAGGGGGGGGTGGAATCCACTTCGCTGTGGTACCACGGGCGGGGGCAGGGGCGGAAGTGGGGGGGGGGAGGCACAGGGAGATGGGGGAAGGGGGAGGAAGGAGGGGGAGGAGGAGGTGGGGGAGGAGGGGGAGGGGCTGATGTGCGGGTACTGCGTCTCTTTCCTGAAGAATCCATGGCAAACTGATCAGCAATTACTCAGAAGTACAGCTCGGAAACTCGATTTGTAGCCAAAGACCTGCGACAAGTCAGCGAAAAAGTCAGAATCGGGAAAGTCGATTTGATCATAGACAGTCAATGAGAAAGTCAGCATTCAGGTTTCGGTAGAAGCATTCGGTGAAGACTCATTGGGAAAGTCAGCTTGCAAGCACGGATATAGAATCAGGGAAAGTCATCCAATGCTTATACAGTCAATCGGGAAAGTCAGCGCCAGAGCTACCTCTGGGAGACACGGCGCCCATAGGGAATGCCGTTGTGAAGCACACTTGACACATCGTGTCGCAGGTCTCAAATCACACTCTCAAAGTCAGAAGAGTCAGCTTCTTGATGCACCTTGAACCTTTGGCCTGAACTCGCACTCAGAATCGCACTCGGAATCACCAATGTACAGCGACGATGTCATTGCAGAACCATTGCACAGCTTGCACTATGGACGATGTCACAAATAATTAGCAGGTACACAGTGGAGCGTCCTCCACTGCTTCACAGGCAACTGATGAGCGTCTTTGTTAGTGCCGGTCTCACCAGTGCCCCCGGCACCCCCTGCATTAGACACACTCGACCCTTTGGAACAGGGATGGACACACACACACACACACACACACACACTCTCTCTCTCTCTCTCTCTCTCTCTCTCTCTCTCTCTCTCTCTCTCTGCCCCCCCCTAGTGATCAACCCTCGCATGCTATAAGCAGTAAAGTTTCTCAGGGCCAAGCCGGCATCGATAGGCATCCAACACCTGCTTGATGTCACCTTCCGAAAGGTGGTCCCGATTTCCCACCAGTTTGTTGTTCGATGTGGGAATGGCATCGAAGTAGTAACCGTTCGCAATTGTGCGATTTTTGCTTCTCTGGCGGTAGTAGTGCATGATACTCTCCTTGGAAACGACTGCGAAAATCTGGGGCACAAGACTGTCACTCAGCTGGCGGCGGCTCAACAAACTCGCCTCGGCCCGGCCGGCGTCCAGAGGTTCTTTGTGAAGGCCGGCCTCCTCCCTGCCCCTGCCTCAGCACCCCACCCAGCCCTCACCCTCCCGTTTTCTACGACCGCCCCTCCCGCTTCCTCGCCGTGGCACCGCCAGACAGCACCTCCCAGGTTGTCCCAGCTCTGCCAGGCCGAGGCGGCCGGAGCGAAGCGCTGAGGCCGCTAACGCTGCTAACGACTGACTAACAGCTAACAAAAACGACAAGTGTTAGTGTTCGGACCAGGCTCATAGTCGTAATTCGCATGGCCAATCTGCGGATCCGCTCCACCATCGTCCGCAGAGCCGATGTAGGTCTTCTCAGAAGGAAGGTACTGAGACACCCATTGGCTGTCAACGTTCTCCCAATACATCTGCAACGCGGGGCCCTTTCCATAATACTCCGCTTGTGCGTCTGCACGCTTCTGCTCGTGGTTTATCCCCAGGCCTTAAAGGCAGCCCTAGGGGATGTGTGATGCGACATGCACCAAACGACACTCGCACGTCACTGCAAAGCTAGTTAGTCCAAGCGAAGCGGCAGTGTCCTAGTTCGTGGATCATGCTACCCTTGTGGTTCATGTTCTTGCACCATCCCAGATTGATCCTGCCATAGCTCCAAGGCCTGCCTAAGTTGGACCAGCAGCTGCCGGTGTCATAGATGCCAATGAGATAGTAAGGGTTAGCAGCAGCGTCATCCTCAATGACTCCGACACATGTGTGCGTGCGCCAGTCTGCAGCTGCTGCTCTGAAAGCCTCCTTGCGAACGTCATCAACATCTGTGTCGAACTTGTATCGCACGATCACGTAGTCTTCCCACTGTGGAATCATACCCTCCGGTGCCTGAGTTGTGCGCTCGATCCAGGGCCTGCCAGCCTGGCAGCCCGGGTTGTCGTTGCAAGGTCGCTCCCACATCGGATTTCCTGTTCCGCCTTGCACCAAGGCCCATGCGGCATCGGCTTCGTCGGTGTCGCCGTCCAGCGGAATGCCATCCTCTTCTTGTGCTGGTGTAAGTCGCCTGCCCGCAACCACCGAGTCAACGTAAGCCGTTGCAGCTGCATTCGGCTTCAGCAGCCGTGCTCGGACAGATCCACCACTTTCAAAAGGTCCCAGCCATCGGTACACCCGCATGGGGCATGTATCCCCAGTCATGCAATCACTGAGGGCAGCTGGCAACATGAGTCCAGGCCGAGGATTTGCTCCCCAGACTGCCGTGTTTAGTCGAGTTGCTCCACACCGGCACTCGTCATTTTCAACCAGAGCAAACAAGTCCAAGCCTTGACTGATGCAGAACTCGAAGCACCTGGCTAGATGGGCAAAAAAGAATGGGGTCGGGGGCTGTGGCACTCGGCCGCATGACGACTCTTCTCCGCTCGCTTCGTGGGTTCGGGAAGTGTTGCTCAGGTCTTGCCGGATTCGAGTGTGGGTGTGTGTCTGGGTGCTTGCAATGTGGGGCACCAAAAGCTTTCTGGCTAAGTTGGTAGCCGCGGCCGTTCCTTCCCGGGGACAAAACCCATTCAGTGTCGCGCTGGTTGCCATTTTGGGTATTGTCGGACACGGGAATATCACAAACAAGGACCCAGGCGAGCACTTCCTTGCACTGACAAGTGCTCACCAGCTTGGCTGCTTGCGTGCCTTCTCTGTGCTAATGCACAGGCGGGTGAGGCAACCCAACTGCTAGCGATACAACAGGAAGACCCCCGCGCATGGAGGAGTGCCGGTATCGTACATCCCGGCTCTACACTTCACATAAGCCTGCGCCGACTAGAGAGAGAGAGAGAGAGAGAGAGAGAGAGAGAGCGAGAGAGAGAGAGAGAGAGAGAGAGAGATTTAATCGCTATACATATATATATATACATATACACCAGGTTCCGCCCAAATCCCCCGCCCTTCTTGTGGTGTGGTGTGGTGGTGGGTTGCTTACCCCCTCCCTGTGGTGTGGTGTGGTCCGGGGGTGGGTCTGCTTGGGGTGGTTCCCCCCCGTCCCCCCCTGTGGCATGGTGTGGGTTCGGATTTTCTTGCGGTGGTCTGCTTGGGTGTGTGGTATACTGATCCTTATGATGATAATGGTGATGATGGGGACGATGATCACCATCACCAATCATCATTAACTCAAACATCTTAATGTTTCTTTGGTTGGTTGTGGGGTGTCTTCTGCCCACGCGCCTGGTAACGATTATCGCTTTATTGATCGTAGGGCCACTCTCTTCGGGACAGCTGTCGCATTGCGGGCAATTGCCATAAGGTTGCAACGGGCCAACTATCACAGGGATCGGGCCTGTCAGGGAACGCGGTCCTCGTGACAGTTGCTTTGTTTAAGACCCAGTCGTCTTTCTTGGGGCAGTGTCCACAGTCAGAAGGATCGGGCGTGTTTGGGACGCGATCCTCGTGACAGTTGATGGCTTTGTCGGCCTCACCTGTGAATCGTGCCGGAAAAATCTGCTGTCACACGGACCGGGCGTCTTTGGGACGCGATCCTCTTGACAGATGACGGTTTTGGGGTCCTCGAACATGTGCAAAAAAGCGTGTGCAGTCACACAGATTCGGCTTGGGGAGTGGGGGGTGGAGGGACACCATTGGGGGGAGTTGTTGGCGAGAACCGGGATCAGAGAGAGAGAGAGAGAGAGAGAGAGAGAGAGAGACATCAACGAGAAGGGGGAAGGGGGAAGGCTGCAGACAGTGCTGGTGCGCCGACTCCGTAACCAATGCTGCAAAATGATGCAAGAATTCCCAGTCAAACTCGGGCACAAGGATGCTGTGAGCTCGTTGGAGTGCATGCGGAAGAACCTTGTCGCGTTTCTCGTCGTGGCAGCTTCTGTCTACAACTTTACATCCTGCATCTGTAGGCAAGACACGGCATACCACCACGGCAAGGGGCATCCTAGAAGGCACACAAGGGGCAACTCGGAGCTTGCATTGCTTGCTGCACCCTACTTGTTGCATTTCCCACTGCTGTTACAGCTCCTGCGTCCAGTCGATGCAGGTCTCATCGGCACCATCTTGCGAACTTCCCTCGTCTCCTGGCATCAAGGCGTTTTCGAAACACCCATACAGTCCATGCAGCCCATGGACAACCACGGCCTGCGGCGAAGCAGCCAACGCATTCAAAGTCAGTGTCGTGCTCCGCTTGCGCATCTGTGTCGTCACCTCAGCGGTGGCTGAGGAAATGCCCAACAGCAAAAGCAAACTCGAAGCGCAGCTTTCCGCTCAGGGACTCCCTTCAATCTCGTCCTCCACTTCATCGATTGACTTGCAGCCCTCCGTGCAGCCGATGACCCCGCAGTGACAGCGCCTGCGAGAGTCGGTTGGAAACTTCACGGTCTTCTTAGCACTCGCCCCCACAGCGGAGCCTGAACCGTCTCGGTTTGAAGAGGTGCTCGCAAGCCAGGTCGGGCAATGGATCGCCAGCAGTCGAGTTGCAAGTGACATGCCGCTGCTGGAAAGCCAGATTCGGACGTGGAACTTTCAGAGACTCAGGGCAGATGCGAGTGCAGTCCCCGAAGGCTGAGGCAACCCAGGAAGCATGCTGCTCGAAAGCAGCGGCTTTCTGGCTCGAAGTTGAGCGATACCTGGAGCAGCTGAAGCTCGTGAGGTGAAGGCTTCTTCCCTCTGCCCTTTCTGCACCGATAGCAAGAGCAAGAACGAGGTCTGGAGTCCATGACAAGGCCAGAGCTTACAGACAGGCCGACTGCTTCCCCTCCATGCTTGGCTGTAAACCACATGCGCCGTAGAAGCTTTTCGCAGCCAAGTAACTGCATGAAGACACTCCCACTGCTTCTTGGACAGGTTCCAGACTGCGATGGCTGGACAAGCAGATCACCTGTTGAACTCCACAAGTCCTGACTCTGGAAGCACAGCCCTAGCCCTGGCCCTTGCCCCCTGGCCTGCCGCAAGCGGCAGTAGACGAATTACTAGGCAAGCGCTGGCCTCGGTTGAGGTCCAGGTGTTAGTGAGGAGAACCCTGCAAAGCACCCAAGGCTGGCCAGGCCACTAGCCACATGCTGCAGCGCTGGGTCGAGGATCTTAGTAAAGCGTAGCGGCGTAGGCCGTGCCTTGACACCTTCTTGAGTCCAAATGGCTGCGTGGGACCACGCTCTCTTGAGAAGGCCCGCAACATGCCCTGCTGTACACGTCAACAACATCCGCACAAGTCCCATGTTCCTTCTTTTTGTCTAGATGTCGCTCAATGCTCGGGTCCGTTTCCAGTCCTGCCAGGCTGAGTAGAAGTTGTGCCTTCGCATGATGTTGCCTCAGCCAGCCGACGATTTCCCAATTGCAAGCAGCGTTCAAAGAGGAAAGCAACGTCCAAGTCAGAACCCTGTATCCAAACATCTATCCTTTCCCAACAGGCTACAGCAGTTGGTGAACGTCCGTCGCGTCATCTCCGCCCCAGTAAGGATCCTGACGCCGGTCTGGCTTGAAGGGCTCAGGGCGTGGGGCGACTCAATCCGATTCACTCTTCCCACAAGCCAAGGTTCTCTCGGAGCTGATCCCCCGATCTAAGGCCGTCGGGGCCACAGCGGGTATCGTTGGGAACGAGCGTCTGGAAGATCCCCTTTGCCTCCAAATCTTTCCTCGAGGGTTACAGCGCTTCTGAACGTGAATCCGTCGTCAAAGCAAGGCTCCGTGCTCCGCAAGTCTGCGGAGGACTCTGCGGTCTGAGCGTCATGAGCAGCTGAAGGCCACCGCCCCCGAAGACGAACATCTGAATAGTCCCTAGGGTGTAGGCTCTCCTGAGCGGACGCTTTCTTTGGCTCAAACCTCAGGGCTCCGTGCTTGGCCAAGACGGCCAAGGTTCAAGAATTTCTTGCGCGAGATGGAACGACCCAGCTTGGAGTAGGCCGAGAGCAGGGCCGTGATCATGGCTTCCTGTCGCACATCGGTCCAAGGCTAGCGCCTGCATGCGCGAACCTGTCCTCGTTCTTGTCAAGGAAGTCAGGCTCCAAGAAGTGCCAATTCCAAGCCCACTCTTGACCAATGTTGTTCATGCAGCTTTGCTGCCAATCGAACCTCGAACGAACAGCACTCGGTTTCACCACCACTTGCACAGGAAGATCTGCTGACAAATCCGGCATGCCGCAGACCCACCGCAGCCTAGCGGCAACCCCACTGACAGTCGTGTACTCCCATCCTCCTGCCAGTAGAATGCGTTGTCGGTGGTGAGATCGTTGTGGCCAAAGGCTGCCTTGCTCACGCAGACAGACACGCACATAGCATCTTGAAGACTGTACTATGGCCCTGTCCTCGTTTAACCGAAGAGAACGACACGAAAACAAACCGCGTGTCGCACTTCCGACTGAAACCACGGTTCTTGCTGCAAAGACACCATGTCCTTTTCAAGCGATAGGCTTGTGAGAATGTCAGCCATGTCCCAGATCAGCTGCCACTCCTGACATCAGTCTGGGTGCTCTGAACGTTCCGATGGCATCTGTGACTACAAGCCATCGTTTTCCTTCCCAAGCTATGCCTGCACCTGCCCGCACAGCCCTGCAATCAAAATCTGATTCCTGATGCACAGGCCTTTCCAACCAAGTCGGTGGGGCAGCTCCACGTCATCCACTCAGGGTTTATGCGCTTGCCCTTCACCGTCTTTTGCACAGTGTACTTCAGGCCCATGTAACCACTGGCCATGCAAAGGAGCCACATCTGGCCTGACCGAGTTGATGCTTCCACACCGCGAGGAATTGCCAGATGCTGACAAGTTTCGGTGTGTGTCGTGAAAACGAGGAATCTGTTTCAGCACGGCATTGCAGCCGTCGATCCAGGACCAAGAGCGTGCATGCAGTCTCGCGCCGGTCTCTATGAACAGGAGCTGTTCCTGCCGAACACTGGCAACACTGGCAGCTCACGACGAACAGATAGGAAATTGCGATGTCCTCCATTGTTGCGGCGTCCCGAATTCGATGCTTTAAAGGGAGGAGATTCCCTCCAAAGTCTAAGACCTCCGTCAGCAGGCAGAATTCACCTGCCGGAGACGCATGCACTCCCTGGGCTCGGCGTGCCGAGTTACGGTGGCCTGTGGTGGAGCTGAAGTCAACGAAGTAGCCTTAGGTCAGCGAGTCTGACAAGAGGGTCATCGGAGGCAACGAGACGAGAGTCTTCTGTGAAGGCTACGAGTAGGGCTTGCTGACACGTGGCACTTGGGAGTTCGGAGACAATCTTTGGTCTCAGGCGCCAAGTAATAATAGAAAAGTGCCTCGCACATGCACACGTCGGATGTCGCCACCAACAGACGCATGGCACCAAGTCTTTGCAGATTGCACTTTAAGAAGAAGCGGGTTGGCAGGTCGACGGTGGCGGAATAGGTAACTTCCAGAACAGCCTTGTCGCCCTTGACCCCATCTGTAACGTTCTTCTGCAGGTTTCGCACAGATGTCACAACCACGTCATGTGATAGGTGCTGTCCGTTCTGAAGCATTGCGGTGAGCAGAGTCGCTCCAGAGGGTGACGTCAAGTCTTCCACCTCAGAATCCGTGCCATGGCTGCAGAAAGATGGAGACAGCATCTCTCCGCCAGAGAGAACCGCCTTTGTCACAAACTGAGCCCAGGAGCACAGATGGGGAAAACAAGCCCTGTCAGCTGTCCTCTTGCACGACGGCCTACGAGAAGACTCACGACGGAAGTCGGCTACCTTGTCAAATTGAGGCCAGCCTTTGCAGCACAGCATCCTCAGCAACGTCATCGCGACAGCCAGGACCATCGTGTCACGAAGCCACCAGCATGCACTGCTGACCTCCAGGGCTGAAGCTTCCATGCCGTCTGGTGGTTGAACAGACCGCTGAACAGCAACTGCTAGCCGCTAACCCTTCGGATGAGTGGCCGCCACGATGCAGAGGGTTACAGCACAGCCGGCGGAGCTCAATCCAGCTTCCATGACGATCACCAGCTGGCCAAGACATCATCAGCTGAAGTCCAGGACGTGCTGGCACTAGTATGCGAAGAAGGAAACTGACAGCTGCAAGCCTCAAGCAATAATCCCCACTAGATACTTTCTTGTGAGATAGGTTCTTTTCGCAAAGCGGTATGTTCCATCCTACTTACTGCTGCTCCTTGGCCCGCATCAAAGCTTGAGGCATTGAAGGCAGACGCGCCCGGTTGCATTTTCGAGCATGAGCGATGCGGAAGCTTGGAGATGAGATCCCCAAACTGCTTGCCGAACATTAGGCTCACTGCTGCCACTGCTGCATCGAGGTGTCTGCCAGTCTGCTGCGCTAGATGGCGCCCTGGGGTTTGGTGCGGGAAGAGTGAAGTTCCGGTAGGTGCGGACCACGCAGGCCATGAACGCACCATGTCAAGAGAAAGCGTTGTGCTGGTGCACTCGCAGCCTGCCCGAGCCAGATCCTGCAGGTTCTAGAACAGCCCGTTGTTTCCCACTACCGGGCTCTTCGAATAGCTGCTTAACCGCGCCATGTAAGAAGGCAGCATCGGTCACAAGCCAGCCTTTGGAAAGAGCTGCCAGAAGGTCTCAGGTGCATCTTCCATGGTTCTCGTAGGGGATCTGCTAGGAAAACTGAAGCCTCCTGCCTGCGAGTTGCTGAGAACGACAGCCTAGGAGTGCTACTTTTGGTCCACATTGGCTTCTTTCTTCTTCACGAGACACTTTGCAAAAGCCATTTGCTTTTTCCAGAAATCAGGAACCTCAGGCAGCAAGATGGCCGCAGACCGCCCACTAGCCAGCAACCCAGCTGAGCGGCTCCGGCAAGGGTATTGTGGTCAGCATCCAGCACCACGAGCTCTCGTTGACTAGAGTGCACAGCTGCATCGTAGTGCCTCCTGGCATGTTCGAGAGGCACCTGAAGCCACAGCACAGGGAATCTGTTACCAGGATTCAAGATGTGCTGTGCATGTTCCGCTCTTATGTTCAAGACCTGGGGCTCTTGCGATGAAGTCGTGCTCTCCGTGCAGCACCAGCACGGGCCCCCGGAATCCTCGAAGAAGGTCCACACTTCCCAGGATCCGTAGATCTGCCTTCCCAGGTCTTGGGGATACCCCCCAGCTGCCCCCCTCGTCAGCTGGGCCTGCCCCGGTTTGCATCCGGGTGGTAGCGATGCCCGCAGTGCCTTCGAAAGCTCCTGCGTCGCATGTCAGAGGCAATGATGCTGGGACCATGTCCCTACATTGCCAGTCTACAAGGAGGCGCTGCTCTGACTCACCTATTTCTCATGCAGGTGCTTCTGACATGCAGTGTTCATTTGGAGCTTCGCATTGCTCGGACTGTTTGCGACACAGGACAACATTCCGTAATTAACTTCGGATGCGGACCGCCAATGAATGATTGCCACACTTCCCTCGCTTCTGCACCGCATGATTCCAAGTTCGGCCGTGTGTGGCTTTTCTCGCCGCTGCTCGGCAAGTGAAAATCATCGACCAAACCAATGTTGGAGAGAAGTCGGCTTCACATGCTCATCAGAATTTATGCTCGGACCAGTCTGGGCGTCTGCTTGCCTGGCTCTCTTTGTTCCATTCTGCTTGTGCCCAAATGTGACTCCCATCAACTCGATCAGAAGTCCTTGAACATGGTGGCCTAGGCAGACAGGCTCGTCTGGCATCAGAGTTACCGGAATGTACGAAAATGGACGTATACCATCCCCTGGCGCACCTTACGAGTACCTCAGAGTTGCATTCAGGACACGGCTTGCTCGCGCGAGTCACCCAGCCACGTCAGCAGCTGATCATAACGCTCATCTCCACTTGTTGCGAATCCAGAGTCTAGGATCAGCCCATCGAACTTGTCCTTCACTCGGGAACCGCTTCCGTGCAAAGCTGATGACAAGTTTGACACGGTGATGTCCCAAGACTTCGTGTCAAAACAAACCGACTTAATCTCTTTCGTCGTCACGAGCTTACAATAACAACTGAGTCTTTGCATGGCTGCTCCGGGTGAGTTCTTTGCAGCTAACAAGACAACATGGTTGAAATATTGAAACATGGTCGTAGTAAACCCTACGGCCCTGGCTGAAGAACTGGAAAAATGCAAGCACGATCGTCACCATTTATGGAGAGAGCATCGGCTCTGCAGCGAAGCGTGTGACTTTCAAATACATTGCACCTACAGCATTGCAAAACAGATCCAAGTCTCTGCCATCGTTCCGAGGAGATGCGTCACAACGGCGCTGCCCAGCGAGCGCCCGAGAAGCAAAACCGGAGCTGGCCAGGGCCAGGAAAGGCCCTTCCTCACGCGGAGAAGCCCCGAAGCCCCCTCTCCTCTCGACTCTTCTCGACTCTTGCCGTTGCATTAAGTCAAGGACTGTCGGAGAATCTCTGGCAGATTTTGCATGCACTGCTCCGCGTCGCTCAGCAAGTTGGCCATGCTCGGCTTTCCCGTTGACCTGACTTTCTCGGCGAACACTTCTGCCGACTTCTCCCTCTTCTTGACACTCAGAAGCTGACCAGCCATAGCCGCGGTAGTCGAAAATCAGCATGCCTCCAGCATTGTCCAAAATTCTCAAAAGCCGATCGTTGCCAAACATTTGCGGAGTTCTGAGCCCTCTGCTACAAGGAAAGACGCGATAGATGTCTGCCCAGTCGGTGTAGTCTTCGCAAACTTCTCCATTGCCGTGATATAAGATCAAAAGAGTGTTCTCAGTTGCTCGTGGCTTCCGGTTCATAAGCAGGCGGTAACCAACCTCAGCCACATCCTCTCCGGTCCCCACGGTGCAGCTTCCATCGAAAATCTGTATGTCTTCAGCTGCCCACTGGACATGATCGTCAGGCTCCCACATGGACTTCCGAGGTCTTAGAATCCGTAGTTGACGTGCGTGCCTCTCTCGGCATAGGCACCAGAGTTGGCTGAGGCCTTCCGCCATGGCTCTGCAAGCCTCGTGGCCCCGAAAGTCACCTGAACGAGCGGCTCGGGGCCTGGAGCTACACGCTTTCGGTGGTTCTGGGGCCGCAGGCGTCAGGGTCATGGGGAAGAGTCGAGTTGCGAAGATCCCTCCCTGCACGGCACTGCACTGAAGCCCTGGGCCTAGGTCCACGCCCAAGCAGAACCGAAGGCAGAGCAGCGACAGAGATGACGGTCCTGATACGTGGCACATAGAGCTTCATGCGGGACAGGGCATCTCAGCGGCAGTTGCCTTCAACCGCCTCCACGTTTGCTCCCTCGATGAAATCAGCCAAAGCATCATGGTATCGCAGGTCTCTCCAGGCATCATGGCCTCGACGGACCTGCAGGAGTGTTTGCCAGCTCTTCAGTCTTCTGTTTACGCCTGATGCCAAGACGCTAAAAAGTTCGCCCGTGCAGATGCCTCATGGTCATAGAACAACGGCAGATCCCAATGCCAACTCCATGAGCTTGGAGCACCACACTGTCGCTTGTCGGAGGGGCTAAGGTGCTCGACGTCCACTGACTGCCTGGACAAAATTGACAAAAAGATGAAAGATGGCTCTCTAGGCTTCGATAACACGAGCTGCAGGGCCTGAGCAAAACGATCGCTGGGCTTTTGGCTGTGGGCCGCTCTGAAATCCTGTCGAATCCTCCAAGCCGGGAACGCAAAGCACGTAAGCCATTTTGCAGTCTTACCTACTAAGAGTCAAAGAACGGCCAGATCCTCCTCAGATCTTCGAAGAAGGGAGATGTCCTGAAGCGGCCACGTCGGCTTTAGGCTGGTCAATGCTGATAAGTCAACATCATGGGATTCCAACATGCTCCAGGGTGCATCTTGTCAGTGGGTCTAACGAAGCTGTCAGTGAAAAACATTTGTAACTTGCCGGCACACACTGGTCACAGGCCGGCACAATCAGAAGACACGAAGGGCAGGAGAAAGTGCCCCGAAAAGCATCACCGGCAGAGCTAGCCACATGCGGGTCCACTGCGGCTGAGATTGAACCCTGTAAACCTGAAGGTTTGGGCAATGTCCCAAAGACAGCCCGAAGGAATCCAAATGACGCAAGCATTTGCTGTCTGGATATGTATTTATGGTACACCCACATACATGTATGTATATATATATATACAAAAATACATAGCAGTATATGTCCGTATATGTACATGTACAAATACATGTATATGCGAAGGTCTATGCATATGTTTGCTTACAATACGCCGGCGTGCCTGTGTGCATATATGTAAACACATATTTACATGTGGAAGCATGTGTATATACATCTCTGTGTGTGGATGTGTGCTTGACATGTATGCATGATTATGCATGCATGCATGCATGTATGTATGCGTGTATGTGTGTATGTATGTATGTACGTACGTATGTATGTATGTATGTGTATGTATGTATGCATGTATGTATGTGTGTATGTAAGCATGTATGTGTGTATGCATGGATGTATGTATGCATATATGTATGTATGTGTAGCTGCATGTGTATGTGTATGCATGTATGTATGAATGAATTTATGTATGCATGTATGCATATGCATCTCTCATTCGCACATGTGCTCTGCTGTATTGGATCGTGCGTTGACATGGTTTGACCATGTTTGACCGATTGCATGTGTGTGCATTTGTATACACGAATCGCATATCACAGGTGTTTCTGTGTTCTTTCTGGCGATTAGATGCCAATGCACTTGTGCACACCTGAGAATGCGCCGTTTCTGAGATGTGGCATGTTCGTGTGTGGCGGGGTGGGGCGTGTGCCTGTTGTGCCGTACGTATGTATACGTATGTATACGTATGTATACGTAAGTATACGTATGCATACGTACACATACATATATATTTGCCAAACTTGCTATGCTAAACTCATGGGTATAGGGACTGTAGCATGCGCCGGAAGGACTGTGGATTTTCTACAGATTTGTCATGGGGCTGCAAGGGCTTGTGGAGAAAAATTAACAGGGAAAAAAAACTATTTAAGGTATCCTAACAATTGCTCCGTGCATTCCCCCACCCAAACCGCCCCATGGCATGCACTCGGACGGTTCCCATCTTTTTTGATCCGACCCCGCTCACAAAACGCTCAGTGGATGGCGGCAGGTGTTGCACAAAACTTCAGTGTTGCCAAAGACAGAAGAAACACGGTTCTGAACTTCAGAGTAAGATCTTGCACAAAGTAGGCGAACACTTCCGCTGTTCAGAAGCTTCCTCTGACTACCTCGAACTGCTAGATACATGTTCAGTTGAGCTTGCAGGCTGCACCATCTGGCAGCCAGAGTCAGCAGGCGGTGGAGAGAAAGGATCTAACGCGCTAGCGGAAGCAGGTTTTACAGGCATCATTAACGATCCACCTTCCGAGTTGCGGTTAGCACTGTACTGCGATTCTGACTTACAAGCGTTTTACGCGATAGCCCTCGAAAGCCCTTCCAGTTTCGCATTGCTCTCTTGGAGTAGCCGTCCTCAAAAGGTTGTTTCAAGAAGCAACACTGAACCAGAGTGCGTGTCACTGAGTGGAGCTCTGTTCAATTATGCCGCCCCGATGCTTTATGTGTGGCAGTCACCCATACCAAGCATTCATCTTCGATGACACTGGCAGCGGCCCCAACTGAACAGCTGACGGCGGCACCAGCAAGTCAAGCGGCGACAGAAGCCCCCCAGTCACCTGCCAAGGGCTACGCGAGCAGAGGCGTAAGGCCAACCGCAAGCCCGGCTTCCCGTCAAGGTGCCGGATCTCAAGGTCAGAACCAGCACACATGGAGCAGCAACGGAACTGGAACCCCAAGGCAGGCAGGCGCACAGGAGGAGGGCGCACAGTGGGGCCCCAGTTGGCAGTCATCCTCAACTGTATTCGCCTCCCCAAGGGGGGAGCAGTAACGTGAACAGGATCAGAAATCATAGGCGCTGTGGGCAGCGGCAGGAGTGTCCAAGCCCAGGAGGTCAGCGACAGCCACCTGGGGCACAGCAGGTGGGGCAGCACACTCGGAGCCAGTGGCCGTCAGGTCGAGCTCGCTGCAGCGGCCGAAGTTGTACTGGTAGTGGTGCTCCTGTGAGCTGCGAAGTCGCAGCACCAGTCGAGCGAAGGGAGTGAGCGACATGACCAGCAACAGCCCCCAACAGCTACAGACGGACAGCAACAACCAATAAAACAGAAAAGTCAAACTTAAGCCAAAATGGCAGCAAACATCCACGTCCACCTGCTCAAGCTTGGGAATTTCACCTTCGTCTCTTTGACCCAAGACCGAGTTCACCGCTTTCTTACTGTCGCCACGGGGGTTCACTCGCGGAGGCGTGGGGGGAACGCGGTCCCACGACCAACACCGGTAGCTGCCCCCGTTGCAGCATCGTGAGGGTCAGCATCTGGCAACCCAAACTTAAGCCACACAACTCGCCACTTCATCCCCAACTGCCTGGCCTCGACAATTCTCAAGTCACGAGCAGCCGCGGATCTGCAGTGGCAGGAGGGGACACGCGTGCGGCCCGCAATGCTGCTAGGAGCACCACCGCGGAGATTGCCGCGAACACACGAAGTGCGGGCGCCGATTATCGTGGAAACGGCTTGCCATCGTCGGCCACTCCTGTCCAATCCCTTGCCGTGTCGACGGAGTCCACTCCCGCCATCTCGGAGCGTCGGTCAACAACGTGGGAACTGCGCCAATTCCTCCCGCCGTTGTTCCCCAGCCACCGAAGACGGCTCAGGAAATTCCCAGCGGCGGGGTTGAGCCCAAACAGCCACGAGGGTCACTGAGATTCCCTAACCTCCAAGCACTCACACACGATTGTTATTTCCCACACAGGTGCTATGCGAGATTGCTTAGTTGCGTTGGATGCAGACTTCTGCTCTATGTTCGTGCGTGCTGGTGTTGGTGTAGGTGGCCACATGTGGCCACTGTACCTGCTTGGGACCCCCACTCAGCCCACAGCCGCCTTCTCCTCCAGCATATGATGTAATGTTCGAATCATATTGCATTGAACTCCAATCTGCATAAAACTAAACTGATGCTAGGATCCAGTATACCTGCTGTCTGGTTGCAAGAGTTTGTAGGATAACGTGCAGCATCTCTACTTCATAGTGCTTTTTTGTTGAACAATATGCTATAAAGGAATTATACGGCGCCAACATCAAAAGTTAAGGCTTGTCACAGGATACGGGATAAACCGTTGTGCTTGGCTGTCTCAACTTGGCAAGCCGAGGTTCAACATGGCCTGCAAGCCTAGTGTCTGTGCCATCGAACTCTTGAATATTGAAGCCTGGGACGTTCTCCTGCAACCTGCCGTTCGGACTCAAGTGCATGCTGTCGTGGGCAGTGCCGGCAGCAGCCAGGGAGCTTTGCATCAGCTTCGTCGAGGGCATCGAAGTCAAACATTCAGCGGCAGTGCAGTGATGCTACTTCGCGACAGCCCCCTTCGCAACGTTGAACGGCCGTGCACACTATCAGGGTTTCACTATGGCAACTCAGGTCTGGCCAATGGTTGGAGCGTGACTGAGGACGAGACTCGGGGTCTCTTCTGAACTCGGATGCTTCAAGTGTCAATGGGCACAAGCTGTGAGGCACATACAGTAACACTGGGGCAACGTGTAGAAGCAATCAGAGATCTGATCTACACAACTGCAAAGACACGGACCGGCATTTTCCGCATGAGGTCACTGTTAGGACGCACCAAAGTGATCTCATCTCGGCTAGGTGCGCCAAGTGCACATATCACCGCTCTTCCTTCTCGTCGTCGCTGTCAGATGATGAGCCTCCTCTTTCCTGATCCATGCGCTCACGTCCCAACTTCGACCGCTGCTGCTGGTGGAGCATCCGGTTGACACGGTCCGCTCTTTGTCCTGGAGCTGTAAGCTGTAGCCAAAACGCTTGCAATCTCCTAGAACAAACGAAAGCTCACGCGGCCACTGAGATCCGCTCCGGCTCCGAATCTGAGCAAGTCCGTCTCGGCTGCCTTGCACTGGTGCTCTGCAACCTAAAACTGTCGGCCTGCTTGCTGTGGAGCCTTGCGCTTGCAGCGTTAAGCTCTAAATTCCACGGATGGTAGGGCCTTTGGGCCTTTGGGGTCCCGTTGGGGTGTTCGGCTTCGAAGACGCAGACCAGGGCCCATGGCCAACTTGGAAATGTTGGCGTAAGTCTTACAAGGCAGCTGATCTTGGCAGCTGAGTACCTGCCACTATGTTTGGCAGAAAACTTCGAGTGCCCACGTTGCAGTCAAGAGGCTGTTCTAGAATCCCGCCGCTTGAACTGGTCCTCCAAAACGCACATGCCAGCCACTTATGTGAGTTCGTCAACCCTGAACCCTGCAGCCTGCCTCCTGCTCTTTCTCATCCTCCTCTGGGGGAGACGTCGGTTCCGGCAGCGGAGCCTGCGACGGCTGCGCAGCTGCCGCGCGAGCCGCAGCGTCAGCGGACGGATCGGGCGCCCCCTTCTCCTCCTGTGTCTCTTGAGAGAAGAGAGAGTCTGTGAGTCTGTATCTCTGCATGTCTCTGCCATCCACGACCGATGCAACGACCGGACCTCAGGGGCTCCCTCTCGCAGCTGTCGCAGCGCTTCCTGCAGACAAGATCAAGAAGTGAACCTCTTGGTGCATCTATGTGTGCTCTTCTTGTCTCGACTGCAGAGAAAAGTTCGGGCTCCTCAACCTGCGCCTCGTCTTGCCTCATTCGTTCCTGCCAGCTTCAGTCATGCCCGCAATGGGAACTCTGAAGGTGTTTCCTTGGGTGCGCGCCTCCCGCTCCGCTCGCTCCTCCTCCGCTCCCCTTGCCGCGGCCTCTTGCCGCAGGGCCTCCCGAGCAGCCTGGCTGCGACACGGCTCCACTCTGCGAGTCCGAGAGTGGCAGCTCTGCCATCTGCGGACCTCTTCCACTGCCCGCTTCAAGGCTGCCTTCTGCCCCCCGGCCTCTCGCGGCAGTCGGTGCCAAGTCCAGCGAGAAAGGCACTCGGAATTAACGCTACGCGAATCCCCACAGGTCAAACTGAATAAGCTGCAGAATCCTCGTCGTCTCCTGTTTCCGCTGCCGACACCCTCTGTTTGCGAAGCGCACCTGCTTCACAGCATGGCGGCTGAACTCGAGCTGCGCCGCGAGATGCAGTCGAGCGGCTTATGATTCTGGTCAAGTGTCCACTTTCGATTCGCGCCTTCTCCACCTGCCAACGGAGGTTCCTACTTCCCGAAGAACGCTAGGACCGTAAGCCTTGAATTTGCAATGTGCACCTCAAGATAAGCACGCCCTGTGCTGAACATGGGCTTGAAGCCCTCAGACATGTGCGCTCCATCCAAATCGCATAGATTCAGTCTTGGCATCTGGTGTCATTCAGATAAACAAGGCCCCGGCTTGTGTTACGGCCATGGCCATCATTACTTTCTGCTCTCGTTCCAGAGACTCTCGCCTGGACGTCATCACGTTGCCCATACCAATGTCCTTGCGCGATCCGAGGCCTCTCTCGAAAAATGTCTTCTGTTCGCTTGAAGGCCTGGCAAGGAAATGATGAACCGTAGGATGACATGTAAGAGCAGCTGTCACTGTGCAAAAGGCGGAGGCCTCGCGCTTTGTCAAGCCTTCTTCTCGCATGAGCTTCAGCTGCTGGGCCACGAACTGAAGGCGGAAACGCTTTATGACTTCGTGGCACTCAGTCAGCCTTCAAGGGCCCCATCCCCAAGCGCCTGCATCACCGGATGATCGTCTCTGTATGCATCGTTCCCGGCCGACCAATCATTCCCATCAACATAGCAATCCTGCGCCGAAACTGACGATCCGACCCACAGCTTGCGTTGAGTCCATCAGTTTAAATATGGAGTTCCTGGAATCGGAGGTCCGGATACTTCTTCAGGAGGAAATCCACCTTGGTTGCTACTGCTTCACTCCGAGTCCAAGCTTCGCTTGCTACCCGACGCTACCACAGAAAAGAAAGGCAACCGATCGAGACGCCATCTGTGGGTACGGATTGCGGATCGTTCGCGCCTGGCAGAGTATCAGAAGTGAGACTCGCATAGGCCCTAAGGCATGGAGGACATGGGGCCTGCAGGTGCAAGTTGTGGTTCTCCATTGGAGGAACACGCTGGCACCTCGAAGGAAACAACCAACAAGAATGGCTTGAGCAGACTCTCTGAAGATGCGGACCACTCCAACCACCTGGGTCGCTCCTGGCGCTCAGTGGAGCCGCGAAGGGCAGCTGTCGGTCTCCAAGAATTCAGCACCCAAAGTCCTTGAGAAGCCCCATCTGGTTGAGCATGCGCACCCGCGATACGACCTGAACCGAAGGCTTCGGAGTCGTCCTACCAGCAGCTGTCTTCTGGAGTATTCTGCCACAAGCACGGCATTGCGAAACCGACATGCATCACTAGATCGTGCACTTCGAGGTGCAGGCATCAAGCTTGGCAACCCGCCGGAAGTTTGAGCCTTAGCATCACGGGGCGTGAGAGAATCCAGCGTTGTCACGACCGGGCTGTGGGACCAGTGGGGTGTACCGCAGCCTTCGGCATGGCAGAAGCCTGCCGTGTTAAGACCTGCGCCTAGACTGCTTGAAGCTTGTTGAGATCCAAGAGTGTCTGCTGGCAGTGTCAGGACAAGATCGTGTCAAGTTGTTTCCACCTCGTGTGAAGAATCCCGGCTTGAGCACAGGGACTGTCCACGGCGATGTGACTGTCGGGAGGGCATGGGCTGCTAGTCACGAGTGCCGATACAGGAAAGCAAGGCTAAGGCAGGTTCACGAAACCTGTTCATGCTTCACAAAGTGGCTAATGTTTGGTCTGAATCCTTAGGGCTAGGCGACCAGACCTCCTGGCCTTTCTATGATTCGAGAGGAGGGTGTGGAGTCCGTGGCACCTTCCTTGAAGCGGGTTTTGACTTGTTTAGGACGCCCACAAAGGGCAGCAATGTCTCTGCACTATGCATATGCGTTCGCGCATTTGAACACCTGCAGTATGTCTGTCTGCAACAGCAACTCAGCTTGCAGAGGATCACGTCGGTCACTTGAGCCGTTTGCTGTTTCATTGCTCATCCCTGTCAGGTGTCTCTGTACAACCGCTAGAACTGCTAGAAGTCACATCACCGCATGCACAAGCCCACTTACGCCTGTTCCACGGCGGCTAAACCCCTCGTCAGCAGGTGTCCTCCACGGAAATCTGCTGCAACACAGGGCAAAGACTGTGCCTTTTTGCCACAAGCAGCGGTTGGTTCACCCCTGGTTTGCGCTCTCAGGATCTTGATCCGATCTAACACCTGGACGGAGCAAGATCATGCAGAATGCTGCCGGCAGTGCAGGATGGGGCGCCGTAGCGCGCTGCTTCGGCGAGGCTGAGGCATTGCAGATGTGCGTGCAACAAGTGTGCTTGCCTGGCGGCTCTGCCCGAAGAAGGCCGCCGAGAGTTGGCGCATCTCATCTAGGACCGCGGCGCCGGAGCCCTTTTTTCCGCCTTGAGTGTCCTGGCCCTGGCACTCCAGAAGGGCCCGAGCAGAGCGCCTGGGCGTCCCCACACCAAGACCACGCTGTGTGAAAGAGGAAACAAGGTAGATCAGGCCCAGTGGCAGGTGCCAGCGATCCAGCGACTGAGCTTCAGTGGCCGAGGCGGCCGAGCCCTCGCCCAAGGCGGAGAGGATCTTGGCAGGGACACGGCGAGCGGGAACAGCACAGGATGTTGAGAGGGCAAACCGAAGCCTCCGAGATGTGTTCACGCAAGAAGGCTTCCATTTGGTCCAGGGCTGCTCCTGCTGCATCTTTGGCAGCATCTGCCTTGCCGGATGCAGGGCGTCTCGCACGTTTACATTCATTCCTTGCCAGATTCGAGTGATGTGCGAAGCTGAAGCCTTGTCAGCTGCGGCACTCGCAGCCAATCCTCCCATTGCAGTTCTGCGCTGAGCCATCAAAAGAGGTGCCTGGAGGCCCTGCATCGAGCAAATTGACACTGCACTAAACGACGGCGCGCGACCGCGCGAAGCTCTGGCATCCTCACCTCGATGGCCCGCTTGACTCCCATGAGCTGCTTCCGCAACTGAAGTAGCAGCTGAACCTCTGCCGCATCCTCCTCCCCAAGGCACTGCAAAGTGCAGAGAATTTGACTGGGGATGTGTTTTTGCTTCCGTGGGCTTTTCTTGAAGCGGAGAGGCATTGCAGGAATTTAAACACCCGAAATGCGCCAGCACCTCCGGGCCATGCCACCAGTACTCGAAGGAAAGAATTTTGGCCGTGCTCCGGGATCCGCCAGTTGGGGGAAAGCATGTTGACCCATCAGTATTTGGGGCTGCGTCGAGAGCACAGACACCAGTGATTCGTGGGGGTGCGAGACGACGAGGGCCTCCTTGGGACGAGTTTCTGCTGCTGCGTGCCGCAGATTTTCTCGCATCTGCACAAGATCCGCGCGCCACCGTGTTCCTGCATGGACCACATGCAATTGCAGCAGTATTTGGGATAGATATTGGGTGCGCTTCCGAGTACCACCAGTATTTAGGGAAACGCTGTTTTGGCCATGCTCCTGAAATCCACCAGTCTTTGAGGGAAAGCATCTTGGCATGCCTTTGAATCCGCCAAAGCATGTTCCCCTTCGAATCGCCATGCTCAACGCCTTGATATGCTCTCGGATGAGGCCTTTTGACGATGCGGTTCGGTCACGAGAACGGGTGTTGGGGACGAGGGGGAGTTGCAGCGGGAGGTAGAGTAACAGATCGAGCAACAGTAGTCGTAGTGGTAGTCGCACCGGCAACAGTACGAGCAGGAGGAAGCAGCCAGTCAACATCCTGCTAATTGCACGAACTATCCCGCGTAATTGGCAGGTGCAAATGTAGGGTTGGACTCCCCTTTATTTGCAGAAGCCCGTGACGTGCCGAAATATCCAGGACGGGCCGAGACAGGAGCACGGACCGGAAGGACGGACAGGAGCAGAAAAGCAGAGGATGGGGCCGAGGCCAAAAAGATATGAAAAAATATCCACTGTCCCAAGCAAAAAAACGTGCCACAACAACTGTCCTCCCACTTCAAAAAAAGCGGTGGCCCCAGGCGTGCTATGCTGTGTGCCTCCGGGGTGAAGCCATCGGTCTCCAGGTAACCAGCCGGGGCGGGGAGCGCACCGGAAAAGCCGGCCAAGCCATTGCCCCCCTCTCGGGGCAGGAGCGGGGCCTCGAGCGTCTCATCGAGGCAACGGCTTCCACCAACTGGCATGCGATCATTCGCATCGCTCTTGCTATCATTCGCATCCGCCTTCGCCGCCACCTGGCCCACATCCGCGCATCAAAGATCTTGGCACCCAACGTCTCAAAGGCACGAGCCTGCCAGTTTTCCTGGTCGATCTCAGGATTCAACTCATTCAGCCTGTCAGACTCGTAGTTCACATAGATGCTGTACCTGCAGGCATAGCATGCTGCAACGTGAAGGCTCACACCTCCGATTTAAGATGATTCTAGAATCCACTCTGCTGACTCTCGCCGAGCACTGGTACACCAAGTTCGGTATCCCTGGGCGGTACAGCACCTGCGAGTCAAATGTCGACTTGGTTACGATCATTGCTCACAAATCAAACCACGGAAAAAACAAGCGGTTGATCGAGCCGGGCGGCCGGATGTAGGTCCAGCAGCTCTGCCATCAGGTGAGCATTTTCTGCTATGGTGGTGCAAAGAATGCGAGCACCCTCGCCAGCCAAGAAGCCTGCAACGAAACATGCCAGCGGAGCTTCATGCCACAAAGATAAACATCAAGCCAAAGGGCGCGCTGTGAGGGCATATTTCTCCCAGACCTGCCGCGGGCAGAATGGGATCAGCCGGGACAAACATCTTGAGGGATATCTTCGTCTCGAATTTGCAGGAGTCTCCGGAGTCTCCGGTATGTGTGCGCTTGTGTGTAGGTGAACTGAGTAACTACGCTTGCTGACAGCCAGGGCCTCGCGCGTGATGAACGGTGGATCGATTAGGACAAAGCTGAAGGCACCTCGCAGAGCCTCGCATCGACAGAGAACGGCGAAACCAGAAGAGCAAGACCACGCCACTGCCTCCGGCAGATCCTCTGGCTGGTGGAAATCGTAGAAGACATATCCTGGTGGAGAACATTCAAGCTCGCAACACGGCAGGTGAATGCGGCAGGTGCGCAGATCTGGGCACTTTCCATGGCGCCTGGATCTGAATCCCACTGCCGGTCGAAGTCCAAGACTTTGCAGTCATGGCGGCGTTCCTGAAAAAGTGAGAGTGAGAGCTCTGACATGGAATACTCAGCAAGGCGAAAGCGTGCTTTCGCAGCCTCTCCTGGGGTAGGCTGAAGTACACACTGGGCGAGGAGACCAAGGCGGAAGGCCCGCTGACATTGCATATTTCTTCCACGAATGTGGACAAAGTCGGCTGAGAGAACCAATACCTCAAGCGCTACAGGCTGCACATGCATAACATGCAGCGTCAATTCACATCATGGAACGATGCTGCCAAGGTCGCTGGTTCAAATCTGCACGCTCGACGGTGCCATCCAAGAAGGTCTTGGCGGCATCCATTGTTGTACGTGGCTGGTTGGCGAAATCTCAAGAAATACTGGGCTCTTTCGTCTAAGAGTCTAAACATGCATCCACTGAAGCTTTGCTTAGGCGCTATTGCCAGGCTTTGCAGGCAATCTAGCCTGTGAGCCAAAAGCTTCCGCCATCTTCCGCCTGTGGTCATGCATTGCCTTTTAGGCGGGTCTGGCAGGCCCTCGTTTTGCGATACACGCGTGGACGCTTCCGACGACCATCAGGTAAGTTCCGTACCCTCACAGGTCCGAACGAACTACTCATGCTACGCAAAATGGGATCCGGGTTTGGACATGTCACCCACGATGTCTGGAGCTCGGCAGAATTCCAAAGTTATGTCGAGTGCAGACACCAGACGTTGCACATCGTTGCACAAGCAGTGTCCAAAACAAGCACTGTGCAATCTGCTTTGCTACCAAAAGTGTGCAGGGAAAAACGACACGCCCCAAGATGTCCCAAGATCTTTGTCGAGATCCACAGCAGGGAGCACGCCGCTTCAGAGTCGACTCTTTGTCCACGCTGGCCAACCGCTTTGACCGATGACGGCAACTTCAGCCCAAAGGAGCATGACGAAACCAGGGCGCACAAACGTGGATGCAGTCGGTCTATGCACATCTCTGTTGGATTGCGACAATTCATCTACCAAGCGACACGCTCATTGCTAGCAAACGGCATCAATCCGCAGCAGAAGTTGTAACCTGGATGCCCCCATCACGTTCTCGTGCTCAGGAGGCTCAGGTAACAGTCTTCGGCTCCGGACTGAGTGTCCGCAGGCCCATTGGCGCCGTGTCCGGCTGGCAAGGGCAGAGCGATTCCGAAGCGCGGCTGCCATCGGCGCGTATCTGCGAGACTTGGCCCAGCACCCAGCACGCGAGATCGCCCTGGGCTCCTCTGCGAGTGTCGCAACCTCGTCGGCGCAGGCTGAAGACCGAAAGGACTCGAACTGAGACTCTCATTCCGAGACATCGGCACCTCTCACAGGGGAAGTAGGGATCAAAGCAATGAGCCTGCCAGGCGCCAAGAGCTGTAGGAGCTTTTCTGCATGCACTCCTGTTGCCCGGACCTGGGCATTGGGAGGACAAGTGGCTGGAGGTCCAGAAAGGTGATCCATCGCAGGAAGCATTGCGGCAGCCTGCAAGCCGCAGCTACGCTCCTCCGCTCCTCAGCCCCGCCCAGCCTTTCGTGTGAAAGCAGTCGCGAAGCCGCGTTGGATGCTGTCTGCGCTCCGGCCTGGAAGCGAAGCCTCGAGTGGCGCGGCAGCAGGAGGAGCGAAGGCCGCCGCGCTAAGGGCCCTGCTGGCGCTTACCGCCCTCGCAACTTCTCCGAGCGACTTGGTGAGGCCACAGCAGGTCGGAAAGCGGATGTCACCCATCCAACAGCTCAGCTCCCCGATGGGAATGGCCCTTCACCAAGACAAGAGTCTCTCCATTTGGGCAGGTGGCAGGTGGCCTTGTGTCACAGCATCGTTCGCAAGTGAACTCCTGCGATCAACGAAGAAGCACGCGCGCGCCCTGCGCGCGCACGTGGAAGCTTCCGCCGTCATCTCCTGGTCGAAGCAGCCGGGCTCTGCTATGGCCGGACACCTGAGATGCGACAGCAACAAGCGTCCGTCCGCTTCCTTGCCCTGCCGTCTGTTGCAGGAAACATGCGACAAAGTGCTCGGCACTTGCATGTGTTTCAGCATGTGCATGTGCCACGGTTTGATGCAGCTTTGGCACAAGGTGCCCCGATGAGCCTCTGGGTAGGCGAAACTAGTCGGCAGCCATAGCTTCGCGTTAAAACGGCATAGTTTCTGTGCTCCGCTCGAGTGTGTGTTCAACCAGCGGTGCTTCCTCAAGCTTAGGTTTGGACCATTGCTCGCCTTCGGCTTGTTAGCATCAAGCGATCTGCGAAGGCTGAACAGTGACTCCTTCGGCTGAGTATCGACTCTTATGCAGAGATGCAGTCCGCGCACTCCCACCGCAGGCGAAAGGCAGAAAGCAGCACCACTCCCCACCCCTCGAACACATGTCTGCACAGAATGCTCTGAGACCCGGAGGTTTTCAACCTTCCAACGACAGAGAGCCGTGCATCCGACCTCCCACTGTCGCCGAGTCGGCTAACCCCCCAAACTCAACGGTTCTCCAACTCCAAAGCAGGGGCAGCTGCTTCGCCCCAACTTCTCAGATGTTCAGCCCCCATTCCGTAAACAGAAAGCAGGAACTCTCGTTGAAAAGACTCTACAGGATTGGTCGACCTGCTTGTGTGGGATGGCCTCGGTCTCAGACAAGTTAATGGCCCGATCGTCACGATCTTTCCCAGCCTCATTGCACAGTTTCGCGCTCCGCCTGAGCCGGCTACCATACAGCTTTTGATGGGTGATGCGGATTTCCGCCTTGCTCCTACTTGATGTTTCCACTCTTTTGGTGATGTGTGTTGAAGCTTTCCACTCTACATGCGACGATGTTTCACATGACTTGTGACGTCACTAGCAGTCGCTTGCAGTGTTTGCTTCACACTGAGCCAGCACTTGCAAGGATGCTTCCACGATTCAGCCGCGTGCACCACTCTGCACTGCTTTCTGTAGCGTGGGAGCATGCAGGGTGTCCTAGCACGTCAGATTCGGGGCATCGAAACACTGAAGTGGACGTGGCCACGCACAAATAAATTCCAGAGTCTATTCAGCTTGTCAAGCAGATCGACTGACGGCCTGATGTTGTAGGTTGATTTTAAGCTTACTAACCATGACTGACCCTGCACCATGCCACAGCCACAGGGATTGCGGCAAAACCACGGGGACAATCCGCACGGCCCTCTATGAGCTTCGTCATTAGGACAACACCAACTGCGACGAGAGGTGCCACATGGCAGTGGAGCCGTGACCCTTGTTCAGCCTGCCTAAAGCGTTCCACGGCGACACTGAAAATGAGCTTCCAACTTCTGCGACTTGGCAACGAGGATTGCAAGAACGTAAATGACCTGGAGGCAGAGGCACCGAAAGACCGAAACCTGCCATCCGGCTCCGAGGATCCGAGCCGCCAGGCGGAGGCTCGCCCCATCGGACCGGCTCTGCATAGGACTGCTAAGCTGCTTCTGTCATGACATGCTCCGAATCCTTCTTCCTTCTGCGGCCGAAGCTCGAACGCACTCAGCAGATATCAACCCTGATCGCCAAATTTCACAGAGTTGTATGCAGTTCGAAATTTAACTCATCCCACTTGCTTCACGTGGGAAGCCTATTTCTGATGCGCCTTTCATTCGAGGGTGGCTGCAGCACAAAAGTGCATCCTCAAATCTTTGCGGTTCATGTACCGAGGTCTGACGCGCGCGCACACACATGCATACACATCACAGACAAGGTTTTTCTCCTGACGTTACTGAGTGACGTATCCACCAAGTTTCGCCGGCGGATGACTCTCAGAATCAGGGCGCTTATCAGGTCTATTGTCGCTGACTCCTGTGTCGTTGACGACGAGCGTACCCTTGTCATCAAGCTGAGCAGCATCAGCTTTTGCGGCTTGTTCTTCGGTGGGTTTTGGCGGACCTGCTGCATAGACTGACTGATGCTTCTTCCACCTCAGACCCTGACAAAAGCGAAGTGCAACATGCCAGGGAACCTGCCGCACTGGCTGGCTCCTTGCGAAGTGAAGTAACACGCTCTCTTCTTGCCGTTCACCTGCGGAGAGGGTCGCCTCGGAATCCATTGGACCACAGGTTTTCCCCTCTGTTCTCTCATCCCGCATGTTTTGATTGATCCATATTGATCCACACCTTTTCGCCTGAACCCTGGCCATGCTTTCTGATTCGGACAGCCCTGCCATGGAGGAACAAAGGCCGGCTGTCCTCCAGGGTCCGCAAAACCGGCTGAGCATCAGCTTTTGCAGCTTGTTCTGCGGTGGCTTCTGGCAGACCTGCTGCAAACACTGACTAATGCTTCTTCGACACAGTCCCAAAATAGGCTTCAGAGGACCCTGGCAAAAGCGAGGTGCAACATGCCAGGGAACCTGCCGCGCTGGCTGGCTCCTTGCGAAGTGAAGTAACACGCTCTCTTCTTGCCGTTCACCTGCGGAGAGGGTCGCCTGGGAATCCATTGGACCACAGGTTTTCCCCTCTGTTCTCTCATCCCGCATGTTTTGATTGATCCACACCTTTTCGCCTGAACCCTGGCCAGCCATGGAGGAACAAAGGCCGGCTGTCCTCCAGGGTCTGCAAAGCCGGCTGAGCATCAGCTTTTGCAGCTTGTTCTGCGGTGGCTTCTGGCAGACCTGCTGCAAACACTGACTAATGCTTCTTCGACACAGTCCTAAAACAGGCTTCAGAGGACCCTGGCGAAAGCGAGGTGCAACATGCCAGGGAACCTGCCGCGCTGGCTGGCTCCTGGCGAGGTGAAGCAACACCTTGACAACACTAGAGAACATCTGTCCTCCAGAAGGCACAGTCCCGGCTGCACGTCTTCGGGAGTGCCCTGACATTGCGCGGGGTCGCGAGCAAACAAGTCATGACGGCCTTCAACGTTCAGCACCCGGCTTGCACAAACGCAGAGGTCATGACCAAGCCTCAGCTTGCGATTGTCCGGAGAACATAGCGCATGTAATCTCGATTTCGGAGATACGACTCAGTGATGAGCACTGCCCAAATCGTTTGTTGCACAGTGACCGGCAGCAGCCCAGTTCCAGAATCTGCGCTTCAATTGCAAGGGAGTGTCAGCAGCTGGCTTGCGTTTGACATCGGATGCCGCGTAGCGAGAATAGGAGCAAAAGACTCTAGCCTCGAATCCCAGGCTCCGGTACCTCTCGTCACCTCAACACCCGGTTCTGTCTTGAAAGGCTGCAGAACACTGCAATGAGTTGTGTCGCATTCCGCAAGATCGTGCCTTCAAATCCCGTCAGAAGACCGAGTTTCAAGCAGTCAAACAAGCTGGTGGAAGTGGAAGTGTGGAAAGGCCTGACTGAAGCAATCACCAAAGAACCATGCTTGGGAAGGCATGCGAAGCCGAGTTTAAGACTCACCCGACGATGGATCAATGAAGTCCGCCCAGAGCCTTGAACGAAGCTTTGGTAGGAAAGCTAGGTGTTCCTGCTGCGAACTCATGCGAACTCTCCCAGCCATTCCATTTGTGTCACTTGGAAGGGGGATGACTGGCTCTCGACAGACCTAACACCTTCGGCTGCAGACACCTCGCCGCGACAGCTGAGCCCGACACTGCCGAGAGTCGAAGTATGCTTTGAAAGCCTGCCATGTCGAGCGACACTGCTCAACTGAGATGCAAACACCAGAACAAAGACGGGGTCTTGGAAGGCCTGGGAATCGCACTACTAGGCAGTCTCCACGGAGCGTTATGTGGCAAGGACCCTGCCACCTGCATTCGCGCAACCAGTCGACCATAGCATGCTTGCCTTGAAGCAGGGACACACTAGAGCAAGTCCCCACCAGCACATCGAGCATGGCCATGTGACAAGTTAAATCTACAGTTAGTGACATGTGCATAGGGTCAGGAATTTTGACATCGAAACAGCTTGCGGCGGCACCTGTTGCAAAGTGTGAAAGGCTACCAGTACACTGCCGAGTCGCATCAAAGACATGCTTTCAGGAGCGTTAGTCATTTCTCAAGGCGACAGTTGAACTCTCACTTTCCTCGGAGCAGCTGCGCTGGCTGCACCGTTTCGGGTTCTCTGCCCGGCCTTTCGGAAAGCATCTCATTGGACCTCGCAGCGTGCTATTGTTTCCGAAGTATGCTCCGCACGCCATCTGCATCCCCACAGGATGGTTGAGCCAAGCAGCATCGCAGACTGGCGATGCTTGGTCTGCAGCGCCTCAGGTGAGGAGAAGGCAATGACGAACGACGATGGCCACTTGTGCACATGCACCGCCTTCACACCCCAAGCATTGGCGGTCTGAGCAAGCGGATACACGCACGAGCTTCTCTGTTTTGCACATCCGGCTGCATAAGATGAGATGGTTATTGCAGTTGTGGCATGTCTCATCTGGCGAGAATTCACAAGCAAATGAATCAGGGTTCACATCAAAAGCCAACCTTCGAGGTGCACAGAATCAGCAGTGCGCCGATAGCAGCCACACGCCGATGCTGCACAGCTAGCTTGGCATCTCTTGCTCCCTATTCCATCGACAATCTCACAGACATGCAAAGATGCCAGAGTCTCTGAAGAGGTCAATGAATGGCCAGCTGACACAATCCTGGATGCGAGACACTGCGAGGCAATAACAAGCTGCTCAACTCAGAGGCTCAGACATGCACCTCACAATTCCCGTGCAGCCGTCCATTCAGGCTCCGGGCCGCATCGACAGCATTCTGTGTCACTAGATGATTCAAGTGTCCTCTACCGCCCCTCCGGGGCAGGAAAGTGCCTGTGCACTTTTCAGGCAGAGTCTGCAGTGCACTACTACCTACAATGCACAACTCCCTGCGAAAGCCGGAACAAATACATAACGAAGGTCGAGGTACGATTCCATTGTCAAGTTGAAAGGCTTTGCATCGCAGGTGGGCAAGCTTGAGGCCCAAGATTTCAAGGATCAACACTGCGGTTGCATCCGAAGTGGCATGCAAGTACAGACAACTACTCGGGCAGCGGAAAATGCTCTCCGGAGCATGTAGCCGGGCAGGTGCCGAGACTTCCCTCGTGTAGATGTTATCTACGACGGCATCCACGGCTCTCGGCATGCCCTTGAGTAGCACGATGTCCTAATTCTCTGTTCTGCAAACCTTGTGGAATGCCTTGCTCCAAAACTCATTCTTCAAACGAATTGCCACATGAAGCAGGAACACACTGCACTCACCTTGCCTGCTACTCCGTTTTTCTAGCAGTCCCACTGTCCGCGGGTCCTTGAGACTGCGCGAGCATCTGGTGCTGACGAGTGAGGCAGCTTTGTACTTATCTCTGAAGTCCTTTGATGGCCGATCTCGTGCCGCTCGAACAACATCAAAACCGTGAACCGTGCTTCATGTGGGCAAGAGCAAGTCTCAAGAAAGGATCGGTCTCAGACTAAATCAAAGATGAAAGATTCAGAGCAAACCTGAGCAGGAGTGACGCGTGGACTGCAACATGTCTTTGCAAGACCATGAGATCCGGAGACAATCTCCGAGTCTCCTGCCGGGAGTTCTGTGCCTGGACAAGTATGAGAGCAAAAGCTCTCACAAGCACCATCGCCGGACCAGGAATTCCGAAGCCTCCTCTTTCTGGCTCTTGGGACTCATGCCTTGGATCGGTTGAGGTTCAGAACAGGTTTAATGCCAGTCTGACCACAATCCATGGTCAGATGAAACATCGCTGAAGGCTCTGACGCATCATTGCTTGCTTCATCTTCCTCCTCCTCTGAATCTCTCCGGCATCACACAGGTGGCAGTGCTTGCATTCTTTGCCTGAAGTTCGGTATCCAAGCACGCCTGTGCCGAGCAAAAGGCAAAGTAAGGGCTCGGCCGTTTTGGCAGCCAGACCCCTTCCAGAACCTGAAGTGTAGATGTCACAACTGCACCGCACTAAAGGCCGGCAGATACCAGCAGATTGTGACTGGAGCGTAGCAACCTGAGACTGCGGGTCGCGCCATGCACAGGGGCGGCAGTTTCCAGTGCCATGCAAGGCTGAGCCCTGCAAACGAAGCCACTTGGAGACAAGTCTTTAGTCTTGCATCCGACTGGTTTTCCTTGAGGCAACGAAGGCACCTCGCTGGGGTAGTCTTGCACGCAGGTCAATCCTGCCACGTGCCAGGCACATTCTGCGAGCAGTACGCACGTAAACCTAAGCAAGGGTGTGAAGACATGGAACCGTTCCGACTGCAAAGTCTCGCGTTAGTGAGACTTGGCCCGATCCTTGTGGGAAGTCCGCCGTTGGAGTAGCCCAGGCAGACTCCGGACCTATCCGTTCCGCAGCTGGGCACATCACTGCACTGCCGCGCAGTTCAAGTCGAGCAAGCAGACTGCTAAAGCTGCCGACTGGTGTTGCTGCCGTCAGACATCTCTTGCCTTCTTGACTCCACTGTATGCAAGGATAGGCAGCACAAGAAAGCCCCTACAGCTTGGACTTGCTTGGCCCATGACTCTGAACCCACGCATGTGGTCAGAGATTCCTCTTCAGAGAGGCTTCCTGCGTGGTGCTGCATCGAAGGTGCGTGCGATGCCCAAGCTTGCTTGCATCCGAGTCCTTTCTTGTGGCTGGGTTCCAAAGACGGAGCCTGACAGCAATCGCCACAGAAGGAGGGGATTTCCTCATCTGCTTCTCGGCTTTGAAACAGAAGCCTTCAAGAGACTTATACACAATACATGATGGGTGTATGCAATGTACAGGATGGGCCCGACACGCACACGCCTGGATGGATCGTCTCGTCACTTGCGCCTTTGGCGAAATGATTCCGAATGCCTCGAACAAAGCTGAAACTTGCAGACCTTTGCTTCCAGAAACATGTGCTCCAAGGTCCGAACCATGACAGAAGACTCCTCCTCTTCCTCGCACCCGGCAGACACCTTTGGCCTCGTGTATGCTACCCAGAGCTTCGGGCAAAGTTCCAGAAAATCTATGTACGGTGATCTTGCTCGAAGCTGAGATTGGGTCGTTGCCAGGCCCAAACGCATCACAGTCTGCTTTGCACGCTTTCTTGCCTCATGTCGGGGCAACCTCTGATCTCGTTTGTGTTATCGAGACCGACGCTCGTTTCATTCCGTTTCAAGCTCAGGCCCGCATTGCGATCATGGTCCACTAGAATTGAACGGACTTCTCATCTGGTGTGGAACTTTCAGAGAGCTGGAAGGAATTCGCGTCCGATCTCTTATATCTTGATCGAGGAGTGCGTATTAGAGGTGTGAGGCTTCGAACACCTCCTCCTCCTTCTCTTCGTGGTTTCCGCAGGCAGAGGCTCTCGCATCCCTGATCTGCTCGTTCCAGTCGTGACAAAGCTGCGATCCTCTAGGTTCTAGAAGACCCATCCCGGAGCCCTGTGCCCTCAGGCCTTGATTTCGCCCTCCGGGCACAGGTGACAATGTCCACACTCCTTTCCTGAAGCAGCAGAAATCCACCGGGACTGAAACTGCACAATGGTCGTAGAACAGTCACAAGCTGGGCCGGGCACCATTCTTGCATCCGCCTGGCTTGTGGAACCTTATGGATGTGTTATGGTGTGCACGTGCATTGGCACGCGGCATTGCTCACAGCTCACACTTCAATCAAAGGCTTGGTTCCCCCTTCAGGAAAAGACGGAAGCGAAGGAGCAAACCCTGAGCAGTCGGCCACGCACATGGACGACAAGTGCCTTGATCATGCAGCACAGAGCCATGGCTGGGCCTTGGTGCTTGGATAGATCGTGTTATACTAGAAGACACTCAACGCTCTTTGGCATGCCAAAGCTCGCCACGTGTTCGGTGGTGGTTGCAATCCTGGTGGGAACAATACACCTCGGTTTCTGCACAGTGAAGCGGAAGCAGCCAAGCTTCTCGGACTGGGCTTCTAGTAAGATCTGGGCACTGTCCGTCACCTAAGACACGACTTCAGGGAATCATCAGAACACATCAGAGCATGAGGCTTGGCTGCAACCTGGATGCGGCTTTGTCCAAAAGGCACGTCCTCGTCGTTCTCCTTGGGGCCTGGCTCGCGAATCCCCAAAAAAGTCACTGTCACTGTGTATCCCTCAACTGTCAGCCAGGCTTGTCTGCATCATGTAGTCTGGATCCTTGCGCATATCTCCAGGTGGTGAGGTAAACCTCTTCCTGGAAAGATGCGATCACTCTTGGGCAGCTGCATCATCCTCCTCTGCCAGGGCCTCAAAACCTCAAGAAATACAAGTGGATCTTGATGGAGAAACTGTTAGCAAAAGACTTGGATCCGAGCGAAGCATCTTCGGAAGCAAAAGCAAAGGTGATGTCATATCTGCAGGCAGAGTACCGCAGTTTCTACATCTGCTGGCAGCTGCGCAAAGCCGTGCAAAGCCGTGCCTTCTTCGTCATCAGCTGGTTCGGGTACAACAACGGGCGGATTCTCTGGTTCGACCTACACCAGCCATAACATCGGTGCTGCAGCCAAGCATCTTGTGAAGACCGTTTATGACACAGGGCACAAGCAGGAAGCTTCCAAAATATCTACGAAACACTCGGCATTTACAGATTGCCAGACATCATGCTGACAGCCTTGGTTGGCGAATGCGGGGATCCCGACGACTGCGGGGATCCCAAAGCAACAGCAGTATCCTGGGAAGAGAAGTCCAAGTCCACATTGCGCGAAAGATTTTCGGTCTCAGGTCGGCACCAAGGAGGCCAGAGAAATTGTTGCAGGCCTTGCAGAAGACCGAGTCCCAAAGTTGCTCAGTACGAAGAACCGCATGCTTGGAGCCGGACGTGCATTGCGGGGACAGTGGTCCATATGATGGGCTCATCGGATCAGCCATGCTGAGAACATCCTGGCAGTGCGGCAAAAGCTCAAAGCAAATGTAGCGCGGCGGCCATCTCTATTGCAGGCCCTCTGCCTCCAAACTTTCCGACTGTGGTGCGTCAAGGCCTCAGCACTTCATCAGGGACCAGATAGCAGACCACTGAACTTGAAAAGCAGAAAGTCAAGGTCTCTGGCACATAGATGGCAGCTGCACCTGCCAAAAGGTTTTGCAGATGCCGCTGGCAGAAGCTGGCACCACGTGGCCTTCTGGGGCTCCATGGATGTTGTGGGAGACCGAAGAGCAGAGTCCTTTCTTTGCGACTGTCACACGGTCACACGTCTCGCCTGCGCCCGATCCAAGGCCTGCGCCAGCATCAAGCTCAGCTTCTGCGGTGAGGGAGAGCGTGCGTAGCCCGCAGCCTTTGTCAATCAGAGAAGGCTCATAAGCCTAGAGAGGCGGGAAAGAGGCGGAGAGGAGGCCTCGCTGGGCTGAGGCATGCCAAGCGCCTAGGCTCTGAAGGATTCGTTTTCAGTGAGGCGGCGGGTAGCATCTCTCAGGCCGGAGCTTCTGCCAGCGACAAGGAGACAGGTGGCATGTTGAACAGCTACCTACTACACTATGAGCAGCACACTTGCAGTGACTGTACGATCCCGCTTCCTGCCTTGCGGCAGGCAAAGCAAAGGCTCGCAGGTGGGTCGTCCCTTCTAAGACAAAACCGCTGCGGATAGCAGAGACAACTGAAACTGAATTCACGGCAAGCAGGGTTTGACTTTCCCTCCAGACTTGGCGGGTGCACACACGATCCTCCTTGTCTCCAGACCGCCACGGTGCACACGGACAATAATGTCTTGCGACAGCGACTTCTACAAGTCACAGATCACTCTGGCCGGAACCTTCCACGGTCTAGCTGATGACACATTTCTCCGGTGCACGGCAAAACCTCCTTTGCATCGTTTCCTGAAGTCGCGGCTGCCGTTCACCGATTGTGACGCTAGGCCTTTATGATGCTGTCTCAGGCCTATGGTCAGAGCCCAGAGGCCAGTCTCGAAAAAGCCTAATAACCAACGGACCAAGCTGAATTCTGAGTGCTGCGGACCACTTTGGTCCACAACACGTCGCAGCCAGCATAGGCACTGGTTCCATGGTTGAACCGCAGGCTATGCTTGAGCTGGCACACATAGGATGCCTTCCTTTGTAGCATGTCAAACTTCGACGAATTGGAGCAACGAGAAAGGACAGAGGAGACAGGTCGAGAAAGAAGAGCTTGCGGACCGTATGCAAAAAGTGCAGTAGCTAAGCATCGACTCTGTTCGCAAAATGATCCAGAGGTTCGTGTGATGATGGTCGTGGCGCGCTCAGGCTTCACATGCCACGACACAAAAAAGCATGCAATGTTATGCATGACAGCACGAGTTGAGACCATCACTGTCATCAACCCTTCAGCTGCGGAACATGGAAGAGCCATGCTTGAAGCATGCACTGGCCCTCGCCGGCAAGGCTGGGCAGGCACTGTGTCGATTGGTTGCTGCCGAAGCTTGCATTGTCACATGTGATGCGGAAGGCCTTCTGCATGGGGCATAGTCAGAACATGCTCATTTCGAAGCCCTCCCAATTTCCTCCGTGCTGGACACTTCTGCTATTCGCGACCTTGCTTCCTGGAGCTTGCAGCAACACACAGGTTCGCAAATGACACTAGGTGCAAGAACAGTCTTCGGAGCAAGGATGACAGCAAGCAAGGCCTTGCGATGCAATCCGATCCACTATATCCAATATGATTAAGCATACATGCCCTCCCTGCGGCTGCTAAGCTTCGCAAGGACTGCTGGCTTCTGCATGCCAGCCACCAGCGTTCAACTCAAACATGACACAGTCAAAACGGTGCGGGCATACCTGTGCACTGTTCTGCGAGGTCTGGAATGGTAGCTGCATTGAGCTGCATCGGTCAGCCGATCAGCTGCAAGTCAGGCCTGACAAGGACTTTAATGATCTCTCTCTCTCTCTCTCTCTCTCTCTCTGTCTTTTGGAAGATTTTTCTCTGGTCCTGGAATGACAATCAGGAATGCTACACCACCCTCTTACGAACAACGTATGCTGTCCAGCCCGGCACGGCTCATCGGAAAGCGGAAGATCGCCGGTCCCAGCTAAGTTGCTGATTCCGTGTCCCAGCTCAAGACTGAGGGCCTGCACTTTCTTCAGTGCCGAGACTCCCAAGCCTTGTGGACCCGCGCCGCGTGTATGCTGGGCTTGGGTCATGCTTGGTCGATGGGGTTTATGGAGTCTATGGGTTGTCATCTTCGCTGGCATGTCTAACTGCACTTTTCAGAATCCCACTTTCCGTCCTTTCCAGACACCCAAAGCACCCAAGTCCCCGCACCCGAGGATCCAACTTGGCTCGTCCTCCGGTCGGGGACCGCGAGGCCTCACATGTCAACTCAGCCCAAGTGCTGGGCCTCAGGGGCCTCAGGGGCCTCAGGGCCTAGGGCAAGGACGCATCACGACCTGCTTAGCTTTCTTTCGGGCCTGCCAGAGACCCGTGCCAGCGAAAGGATACAGGAAAGGCACCGCAGGCCTTAATTTCGCCCTGAGGGCAGAGATGGCAATGTCCACAATCCCAACCGTTCTTGCAGCCTGCTTCCTTCCAGTACCTAGGCAGTAGGTCCCAAGCAAGCAAGAGAGTTGAGAGTTTTAGAGTGAAAATGAGCGAAAGCAGAAGCGAGCGGAAGCCAAGGCCCTTCGCCAGGCACAGGGCTTACATCGCTGGAGCTTGTGCAAAACCGAACCTTGACTTGGCCTGGACAGAAATGCTGACATGTCACGACAAACGCACACCAGAACACTGTTCTGTGTTGAGCATCTAGCTTGAAAGCAAGCTTGGGTGCCCTGCAGCTCTGAGAGAGCCGTGCCAGCCATGCCCGGAAGCCACATTGCACCTGACTCGTGAACGAGTGCCGGCTCGACGGGAACACCACCTTCACTTGCAAAGGCCGATGCCCTCATCGTCGCTCAGCCAGGGGGCTTTGCCACCGTGTACCTGAGTACTTCTTGGCTCGGGCAAAGCATCGCGAGCATGGTGAGGAGCACTTCCGGAAAAACGCGAGCATCAGCAGGCTCCTGCAGTGCTTAGAAGAAACTACTAGTAGCAGCTGTGAGGGAGCAAAGTATTTCTCCATCTGCACAGTTTCAACGGCAATCCTGCGTCAAGGCCACCTGGGCGTTTCGGCTCTCATCTGCTTGGAGACTTGCCAAAGAAGACGTTCCTGCAGGCGGGGTCATCCGAAGGTCTTGGCGCAGATCACGTTTGGCCCTCGAAATGGCCCGTTCGCCCAACTCGCTAACTCAGCATCTGAGATCTTAGGCTGGAGATCCTTTCGGTGCTGCCTTCTCCGAGGCCTTGATTCTGTGCATTTCTATTGATACAAATCTTCGACCCCGCCACCGTTCCGAATTCGTCAGATTCGTGTAAAGCCAAGCGGTGTAAATCTGACAAGTTTCCTTAATCTAGCTACCCTGGCTGCCGTGCTGTGGACGTGCATCTGACAGGTCCGCATACGTATCCCATGTGTCTTCTTTTTTCTGCGGAGCTACTTCCGTGCAGCACCTGCGTGCAAGCACCCAGAGAATACAACAGCTGCCCCGAGCGCGTGCCATGCATCCCGCCTGTCTCCTCGGAATCAACCTGCACGACAGGACACGGTGGCGAGTTTTCCTTTTCGTATCTCGCGGCCTTTGCAACCCGGCAGGCCAGCAGAAAGTCTGCGCTGCAACCTCAGACGCACCCCCTTCTTTCCTTCTTTCGAGTGATCCCGAAGAGTGCGTCAACGTGCCTTGGGGATGACTGAAGAGATCCTGCGCCCAGGCCCAGCAGGCTTCGTGTCCACTTCCCTTGCACGAAGCAATGCCTCTCCCTCCAGCGAGGCTTGCCCGAAACACAACGTGGAAGCATCCTGATCACCTGGCATGGCATGTCTGGGCACAGCACACAGAGAAGCTCAATTCCCAGTTGCAGACATCAGGAGAGCGGGCAAGATGACTGCGAAATCTCTCACCGCAATGTTTCGACTCGGGCCTGGCGCTAAGAAGTTGTAGTCTGAAGACTCCAAATCTGCGGTGTATGAGGCCTCTCAACAGCCAAAGGCAGCAGAAGCAATTGCACACTACAGGATGCATACATCTTGTACTCCTGCCTGGCACAGAGCTTCTTTGGCTGTTGCACCCACCTCGCAAGGAGCTTGACCCAAACAGCCCAATCCGATTCTTTCCTGCCTCTGGTGTCGGGGTCGTCTCCTCCACAAACTCTCGAGCACCTCCAAAATTGGACAATCGAGAAGTTCTCCAAAAGAATGACAGAGAAAGTCACGGTGTCCGAGTCCAGCACCGCCAATGACTCCGTATACATTGCGAGTCCGCGGCTCCTTCACCAGAACTCGTGCTGCAAAGGCAATATGCCGAGATTTCGGCAAACTCGGGTTTAGGAGCATTCAATCGCCTATGCTGCCCAATATCCCTCAGGATGTACACAGAAAGATAACTGCTCCCTGCCCAGGTCCTCAGAGTTAGGAAGCTCAGTTGGTATCGTACCAATCCAGAGCTGACGGTTGCCTCCGCGTCTCGTGGGAACTGACAATGCCAAGAAGCGCGTAAATTCTCATGCCCAGCTGCCTGGGGCTGGAAAGTATCGAGAAGCCTGACAAAGACGTCGCTGGTCGATGGGCAAACGACACGCGCAGCAAGTTCCGAATACTTTGGAATTCTCTGGTGGCCGTCCTTCAAACATGCATCAATGTATCAGCATGTCTCTTTGCTGTAAACTCTGGCCGCTTGTAGTCCCTGGCTGAGGAAGGCTCCGTGTCCACTCCCGAATCATCTGGCAACTTTGGTGTCTCCTCGTCAGTGCACACAAGCTTATTCAAGCTCGGAAAGACCAGGGCTACTCGCTCCACGCCTGACAAATTGCTGGCCCCAGACCTGGACTGCACAAAGAGTCGTAGGAGACATCACGGGGTCGTCTGCGGCATGTTCCAACTCTAAGGCTGCAGCTGTGATGCCAAAGCATGGCTGCTCCCAGAATTCAGAAACGCAACCGCTTTTCGCTATTACACAACCCGTGGCACGCTTAGAAAAACTCTGGCCGGCGTGACGCTGCTAGTCAACACTCAATTCTGAGACCACTCGCTGGGGGGGACCCTCTGGAGCTCAGTCAGCCACGGGTGGGCTGTTGAGCCTTGAGCTTCCTCTGCCGGTCTGCGTTCTCCGAGTGCATTCGTCAAGTGGTCACAAGGCCGGGACATGCTGAACAATATCATATTGTGCTCATCACTGGTTCTTCCAAAGATTGAGGAAGGTGCGAGAGTGACCACCACGTGCGGCTCCTGTCAGTCTGTCCGATTGAGACAACGCAAGAACCTGCTGCCCTACGGCACGCGAAGGAAGTCCTTTTGCAAGTCGTGGTCAGGGAACAGGCCCTCGAAGTTCCGAGCGAGACGCCTGCCACGTTTGTGTTCACACACATTAAGACGACACCTCCTGTTAGCATGTCATCCTTTTCTGGGACCACTTGGTCACGTGCCAAAGACAAATACTAATTTGCAAAAGCGAAGAGTTCAAACGAAATATGTTCGTGGCTCTTCGGTGCAACACCTGCCGCAAGTATTTTGCATGCCCGGTGAAGATCCACGTAACCCGAAGCCTCTACGCTTTGCAACTCGGATCTGTCGGTCCAAGTTTGAAATCCGTGGATACTGCACCGGCCGCAGGTGCATTCTCAAATGCACTGGACTTCACGTCCTTCATGTAGCCCCACCACAAGCTGCTTCACTCGCCTCCAACTGAGCATTGTGTCACATTGTGGAGTGGCAGCAGCATGCGGCGGTTTGAAAATCATTTTATTTATTGTCCTTTTATTGATGAGGCGGCCGTCACCTTTTGCTGTACTGTGTCCCAGGGCCTGGATCTACCATCGGATAGGGCATCTGAGCTTCAGCATGAGGTATAGGTTTATAGGTTGTCTACTAAATGCTGGGTACGCTGAACTGTGGCTTGGGACACGCAGGTCTTTGCTGCGATCGTGCAGCTGCTGTCCTCCTATGTACATGACGTGGCTCCCTTGACCTCGAAGATGCTGCCAAGATGTGCCAGGACCAGGATAAGGGTCAAGGCGGGAGGTCGAGTGCCGGGCTTTCTACAAGGGGCGCAGCCGTCGCGCCACCTCTCGTCCCACCATATGCCTCACACAATCACAAAGAAACGAAGCCGTAGCAGCTCCAGCAGTCGACCGAGGCAGCCAAGGCACCGTTCCTCTTGAACACTGGGGGATCCCAGAATTGCGGAATTCTCCTGAACACCAAGCGTAACGCGTGCTTGCGTAAGCAGGTCTTCCGTGGTTCCGTGTCTGCAGTCCTGCGTGCGACGGATGAGGTATGGCACGACTTCATCAACGGGTCCATATGGGACATACTTGTAGGCCCTGCGCTGCCCAAGACACATCGGACTGGCGCAAACAAGCTGCACTTTCGTGAGAGCAAGCGGGCAGCAAGCATGCCAGGCGACCTGTAGCCATAGCGCCCCAGCCTCGGCTGCAGTGTGAAGACTCGCCCCAGGGGTCTTCTGCGCTCGTTGACAAATGCGGTCGTTTCGTTGGGCCGAGAGTCGTGAACGTGAGATGATCGGCCATTCCCAGAAGTTGCCCAAAGCCGACGCGATCCTCGCTGCACATTTCACTCTCGGCTTCTATTCTAGGTCGAAGCGCAACGGCACCGGAACGGAGGGCGCTTTTCTCCAGCGCAGGCAAGTCTTAGACCACATTCACTGGTCCTACGGTGGGTCTCGCGCGTTCCTTCGCAAATTGACGGTCACGCACTCGAGTGCACTTCCACACAGCCAGCTGGATGAGAAGACTTGCCAGCGTCACCTGAGCTACTCACATCGCGGAGGATGACCATGAGCATCGATGTTCTTTCAAGAGGCTTGACAGCTGAGGTGGCCACAAATAAAATGACAATAAGAGTCCTGGTAAGGAATTTCACGCATTCAAGGAGCCAAACACGGTGCGCTGCCGCACAGCTCACTTGTGGTTTTCGTCCTCCAAGGGTGGTGCCAGTCGAGTACCGCGTAGATGGGGCACTCGTCCAAAGGGTAAGTCCTTCAGTTGAATAATTGGCCTCTGCCCTCAAATCCCCTCCGTCTTGTTCCAAACCAACAGCCAGTGTTGGCACTGCAACAAGTCTGTCCCGCATGCCATAGCTGGAGCAACTCCAATCTTGGTCGCATAGTGGATCAAGGTCCACACTGTGTACCTTTACAGCAGCAGAGAAGGAACAGTGGCAAATCATACCAAAAAGTCGAAGCAGCTTCACTATGCAGCCACGATGCAAAAGTGCGTATGCATAAAGGATCACCCCATGCTTCAGCATGAAGATGTTCTTGTTTATGACGAACTCCACGAAAAACAAAAGCATGTTCAAGAAATGCTCGAAAACCATTACCTTGCAAATTTGACACATGCTTCACAACCAAGCAGGACGTGCCCCTTGCATCATGACGATGATAGATCGTCAGTCGAAAGCTCGTGCTCAGCGCTTGCACGCATGCGTGGTGGCCATCCTCCCGACACAGCCTGCCTACACATTGCAAGGCAGGATTCTTGTGTTCCTTGCTCGCTGACTCGCGCGGTGCTCGAGCCGCTCAGCAACCCGAATCGCACACCATCCCAAGAGAGGCAAAAGAGGAGAAGAGCAATAGTCCGCCGAGGCCAAAGGCCTCTGGCGTTTTGATGGTTAGTACACACTAACCCTGTACCTAACCTTCTCCCTGCACAAACTTCCACCCGTTTTTAGCGCCTGTTTTCGACCCCCTTGCCCGGCTTCCGTCCTGCCACCCGTGATTTTCACAATTTCCCACCTTCCCCCCTCCCTTCCCCCTCAACTTGCTGCTGATTTTGTCTGCCCAACTCTTTCCCCTTGTTTCCGACGGCATGGCTTCCCCCCGCTGCCGCCCCCCGCCCGGGCTGCCCCAGTTTGGAGAACGGCCGTTCCCAGGCTGCGATGTGAAATTGCTGAATACCAGCAACTGCAGCTGCAGCGGAAGCGTCTGAAAGCAGCAAAATTTCAGTATATGCAGTGTGTCCTTGGTTTTGCTGACATGCTTGTCGGAAATGCTCATTTACGGGGGTCGAAAATAGGCGCTGAAAGCGGGATGCCAGAAACCGGTGCAGCCAAGCCGGCCCTGCCCTGCCTTCCAAGCGTTCTTCCTTTCCTTTCTCCTTCTTCTCTTTCTCCATCTTTTGCCACTTTTCCATCTTCCCGCTGCTTTCCATCTCCCACCCTTCCTTCCTGTCCTTCGCTCGCGTGTTTTTTCCATTGCTTAACTTCCCGGCCCACTTCTCTTGACTTGCTTTTTGTTCTAACCTGTCCTTTCTTCTTCCGAGCGTTCCTTCTTCCTCTTCCACGTTCTTGGCTTTTTCTTCTTTTTCCACCTGTCCGCTGCTTTGCGGCCCCAAGCTCCCTCCTTCTCGTTCCTGCTTTTCCTTCTGCCCCACCACTTCCTTTTTTTCTTTGTTCATTTACTCTTCCATCTTCCCGCCTTTTCCGTCTTCCCGCTGCTCCTTGCCCTCCCCCCCCCCCCCCCCCCCCCCCCCCCCCCCCCCCCCCCCCCCCCCCCCCCCCCCCCCCCCCCCCCCCCCCCCCCCCCCCCCCCCCCCCGCCCGGGTCAGCCCCCTTCCATCTCCGACCGAGTTCTCTTGACTTGCCCTTCCCTACCCTGCCCTTTCTTCTTCCAAGCGTTTTTCTTCCTCCCCCACGTCCTTGCCTTTCTCTCCTTTTTCCACCTTCCCGCTGCTTTCCTGCCCCAGCTCCTTCCTTCCCCTTGCTCCCCTTCCTTCTGCCCCACTTCCTTCTTTTCTTTGTCCATCTTTTGCCAGTCTACCACTTTTCCATCTTCCCCCGCCACTTTTCCATCTTCCCGCCTTTTCCATCTTCCCGCTGCTTTGGCTCGCGTGTTTTTGTTCATTGCTCTTCTCCTTCGGTTCTCCTTTCCCCCTCCTGCCCTGTTCTCACTTTTTGTGCTCCTTCTGTGCCTGCTGCTGCTGCTTGCGGTGCGCCGCTGCTGGCACTACTGGAGCCGCCAGCCGAGGCGGGCCGCGTAGCGATAGAACTATCTGACTCCAACCAAGGAAAAGCAAGAAAGAGTAAAAATACTCACGCAGGAGAAAGGAAGAGGAACCAAAGCAGGACTCCGACCCTCGTGCTTTTTCACACTTGAGCCACATACGTCAGTATGGGCTGTTTTGAGCTACATGACCAGACCTAATGCTATACATGGGGAAACACCGTGCTTCACAAATGCAATGCCTGGAACTCACGGCACCGTGGAACGGAAGGAGTCGGCTTGAACAGTCGAGGCTAGCTAGGTGGGCCATCCAGTCGAAAACAGAACATATGAGTCCAAGCTGTCCCTGCGGGTCTGAATCATGCTACGAGTACCGGCTTTTTAACGTGGCATCACGTGTTTATGTTGCAAATGGGGCAACAGTAACAGCACGGAATTTGAGCGCTGGGGCGTCCAACGGAAATGTTATCATGATCATGCTAGACCCTGGCATCAGCTTCGAACCCAACTGTCTTTGGGTCAGCATCACTGAAAAGACGAATTGCAATCAAGTGGCGTACCCCACGTGCATCTTCATGTCCCAAATCGGATTGATGAGTGTCCAGAATGCAAGGCACACCATGATGCAAATGGGAAAGGTTAAGTTCCAAAGCAGTGCCATTGCCTGCACCTCAGTTGCCAGGTCAGGATATGACGCCCCTGTACAGACGTTGCTAGGGCTCGCAACTTCACTAAAGCGGTGCAAGACTCGGATTTCGGAAGCTTGTAGAGCTCACGGAAAGAACTGCCGTCATCGCCACTCGATTGCCTCTTGGAGGCTGCTCGCGCTTGCACGGTGACGTATACAGCCAGCAAAATGTAGAGAGTCTCGAGAAGGAAGCTCCAGCGGGTCAGGTAAATGAGAAAGCGCCAGCCTGGGCAACACTTTCGACAAAGCGGCACGCAACAGAGTGTGGAGAAATTGAGTGCTTGGCCATCACGCGTCGTCACCCCGTCAAGCACCAGGGTCCCCAAAAAGAGGCACGCAACCTCACACCGCGCAAGATACAACTACCGGACAAGACCCATGACCCGACGACCTTCGCCAAGAAGCACAAGAGCGTATTGCGAGGAGCGCCCAGTCAGGAAGCAGCCATGACGCACCAAATATTTCCTCGGAGCTACTCATTAAACATCTGCAGCCATGACTGGCAATACTACCTCTCCGCTTCGTATCTGAGCTAGGCATTGGGCAGGCCAGCGCCCATTCGCTGAAGAGATGCCGAACAACTTGATCTGACAAGGGTGGCAAACTGAGTCGGAAAGAAAGATGTAGGGACAGGGACACGGTAGCACTTGGAATGGTAGACGAACGACAAGACCCAAAGAGATGTATGTCATGC